AGCCTGTGTGCCACGTCCCGAGGCTCCCCTCCGTGAGCCGCCCACTGGGCACCCACTTCAGCCTACCACGCCCAGCGTCCTCACAGTCCCCGAGGCAGGAGGTCACTGCTGGTCTGGATGTGGCCTTGGTCCTCCCGCCTCCCCTGAGGCGGCCGTGGGTGCATCCGGAGCCTGACAAGCGCCCACCTCGCTCCTCACAACAGCCCTGTAATTCTGGCGGCCTCGGGCCTTTGCCGCCCAGCAAAAGGCAGCCCACAGTTTGCAGGATTAGCCCCGAGGAGCAGGGTGGCCAGGAAGTGGCAGCAGTGACCCCGCGACATGGGCCAGGTTGTCACCCCGCCCTTCCTCTCAGCTCCTGGAGGCACCCTGAGCACAGCCCCAGAGCCACTGCTTGACCTTAGGAGACAGGCGGTACAGGACCTGCGCCTTCTGGACAATGCCCCAGACGTGGGGCTCCACACCCACTGCAGAGGGACCTGGGAGCCCCATGTTTGGGAAAATGCTGCCCAACACACCCACGCGGTTCTCCGAAGCCCTTTCTAGGGCTCCCCAAAAGGAGCCTGCTCCCCGCCCCACCCCGTCTTCCTTTGCGTGAGGGCGTGGCTGCCCGTGTCTGTCCCTCACATCTCTCTTCCTCTCTGTCTCCTCCTCACTCCCTCTCCTCTGCCTGGGCTCCTGCCACCTGCACCCTCCCGACTCCTGCAGAGATGCTGGGCTCTGGGGGAGGCTCCCAGCCCGGCCTCCTGGACACGCCATGCTTTTGCCTGTTTATCGGGGCTGGTGTTTCCAGAACCCTATGGCAGGGCTTAGGTCGTGACCCGGGGGCCATGTCTTCTCTGTGGGTCACCAAGTGCTTCCCACCGAGGGCTACACCAGGGTGGGGGCCCACAGCTGCCCTCACGAGGCCCAGGAGGGGACAGCGCCTCCCTGCGTTTGCGAGATTGGGAAAGGTGCCTGGCTGTGCTCACCTGCCCCCTGCGAACAGGACATCAGCTGCTCCGGGTGGCTCCCAGAGGCACCTGCACTGGCCCTTCTGTGTTGAGGGCCCAGGACGACACCTGTGATTGGGCTGCCTGGCGCCCTGCAAGGGTTCCAGCAGACGGGCTGGTTCTGGGGGGCAGTGGTGCTCCAGCTGCTGGGCACTGCCAAGCGCTAGCACAAGTGGGAACACGGTCCTTTTGACTTTTCCGAGGAAGTCAGGAGTTGAGGTTTTGCAAGAGTCTCTCTGTGCCTGGCCGCCTATGGAGGCTGTTGTTTCCATGTCGGTCTCTGGGCTGGGGCTGGGAGGGGCCTGGGGGCTGGAGGACAGGAGCTCAGCCCTGTGCCTGTGGCAAGAGGCAGGTGTCCTCACCATCGTGGCGGGACGTGGACAGTGGCCTCAGGGCAGTCGGCCCATGGACCTGGTGGCCTCCCTGAGCGCCCCTGCAGGTGTGAGGTACTGCCACGGGGCTATGGGACCTGAAGCAAAGGCGGCCTGTTGTTGATGCCGGCTCTGGTCCTGGAGGCCTCTGTGGGGCTGGGGTCAGACCCTCCTCCCGAATCTGAGGTTGAGGTGACGCCCAGTGAGGGAGTGCGGCGGAGCTGCTCGGGCAGATGCGGCTGCTTCCCTTCTGGGCTGGGGCCCCTCGGGGCAGGCCCGTGTTGCAGCTCTGTCTTCCCAGGGCCCAGGAGAGTGCCCAGCATCGCAGGAGGATGCTGTGGGCAGCAGGGCACAGCTGTGGCAGGAGGGGACAGCAGGCACAGGGAGGCCTGGAGGCCAGCCGTGGGGTCCCTGTGACATGGAGGGGTCTGGGGGGTGCAGGGCAGTGGGACAGGCCAGAGGAGGCACCCAGGCACCCTAAGCCGCAAGTACAACCAGGGCAGGAAGGGAGGATGGGGGGACAGGCTGGGGGGGGTCACAGGAGGGGCTCACTGGGGGCAGGGCCAGAGGGACTGATGGGGAGGGTGGGTCCTCGGGAGGGCGAGGCCAGGTGGGGACTGCATCTCAGGGAGGGGTGCCTGCCATAGGAAGCTGAGGCTGGTGGGTGATGGGGCGCATCGAGCCAGGCCTGTGGGGCCCTGTGTGTGGACTGGGCCTCTCAGGAAGTCTCCCCAGTGGGGAGGGGCTGCACCTCTGGCCCGAGGCCCAGGGGCAGGTTTTGTAAGTTGCAATTAAAGCTCTTGGCCTAGTCAACCCAGCAGCGCAGATTAAAGGGCAGTTTGACGTGACCAGGGTGGCTTTGGCTGGAATCGCCGGCCACAGAGGCCAGGGTGGCTTTGGCTACAGATGCTCGTTTTTCCCGTTTGATCTCTGCGTCTCAGAGGTCGTTGTGACTTGGCCCTTAGAGAAAACGCTGTGCCTTGCAGGGCTGAGGTGCACGTGGATGTTTCTTGTTTTAATGGGCTTTTCCTCTGCGTTGGGAACTCAGCCATGAGCGCAGCCCTGGCCGGTGGGGGCAGCGTGGCTAAGTGGTGTCGTTTTGCTTGGTTGTTACAGCTTTGGTTGTTTATTGTAGCCTGGCGGGTTGGAGTGCGGGAAGCGTTTCCAGAAACCAGCCCTGGGTCTGTGCAGATCCTTTCTGCCTTGAACAGCCGCGCCCCTTCTGCTGCCAGCGGTGTGTTCGGACTCCTGTCTGTGACCAGTGAGACCCCCCACAAGCACACTCAGAAGCTTTTACAAACACGCCGGGACCGCGCTTGCGTTTTCGCTGTGATGACTTCCTGCCCGGAGTGCGTGACGAGCTTGGGTTCTCACTTCACATTTTCAGCAAATCAGGAGGAACACTTAAAAATCCCTTAAAAAATACCCCACCTCGCCCACCGTGCCGCGGGCTCCTCTGGGTTCTGGCACGTTCCAGGAAGCTGCTGCCGCTGCCTGTCATCTGGGTAGCAATGTGGCCTCCATGAGACGTCGGTGAGGCCTCTTTAGCAAGGGGTGCTGTGCACGCCGGACCCCAGGCCCCCGGAACATCACTGCGGCTTGTGAGGAGGCTCGGAGTGCCCCACACCGTGCAGGAGGCCCCAGCTCTGCCCACTGCCCTGACGGGAGTGAACTGGGCGCCCAGGTGGGGGGAACCCAGAACTCTGGGGGGCTTCACCATGCAGGGTCCTTGCACCCTCCCCAGATCCCAGAGGCCTGGGCTGGGGCTTCCAAGGGTGGACACGGAGGCCTTGGGCCGCCTGCCTCAGCATTGAGGGTCACTTTCCCTCCCTCCCAGCCCCCCACACTGACAGCGCCTGCCTCCCTCAGCCTGGGCGTTCGTGGCCTCGGCTGCCCTTAAGACACCATTTCGGTCGGCAGCCAGCTCCTTGCACCTGGATGAGCCCCCATGAGGGCCTTGAGCTTCCAGCCCCTGGTCCTTCCCTCGAGGACGCTGTGTCCATGGGGGCGCACCTCTGGGGCTCTGGGCACGGCTCACTGCTCCACAGAAGCCTGGGACTGCAGCCCCAGCAATTATTCTGATTTTAAAAATAATAATAATAACAACCTCAAGCCTGGTTTTTAGAGAGGATTTGTTTTATGCCAGCGTCCACCTGGACAGAGCTGGCCCCTCCCAGCGGCGCCTTCCTGCTGCGTGGACGCTCGAGGGCCTCGCCAGGCCGTGGCGGTCAGTCCCAGAATGTCAGGACCGCAGCCTCCAGGAGAGAGGCCTACTGTCTAATCATCAGCTGTTTTGTTTCTTATTAAGATGAGGGCAAGTCCTCCTGCCTCCCACTGGGTGCCACCTACCCTGCCTCGGCACCTCCCCGGGCGGCCAGCAGGAGACCTCAGCTCCTGGGGGGGCCCTCGCGGCTCAGCCACCAGGAGGGCGGGGTCCTGGGTCTGACTCAACGATACGCAGCCTTGGCAGCAGCACATCAGAACCCATGTGTGGGTGGAGTCTGGCCCGGTCCCTCTCCCTGCCTGAGGCCTGGGGTGGCAGCCTGCCAGCCTGGAACCTTCCACCATACACTGCTCTGACCCTGGCCAGTGATCACGGTGGCAGGCGGTGCTTGGGGGTCCAGGTGACCTCGAGGGAGACCCTGCTCAGCCTCCTGCCCGGGCCAGGCTTCAGGGACCCCAGGGGGGCTGGCAGCCCCATGGGAGGTCAGAAGAAGATGAAGGGCACCTGACTCCCCCATCAGGAGCAAAGGATGAAGCCATGGGGACCGTGAGGGCTGTCCCAGCTGGGCAGCCCTGAGGTCCTGTGTCCACTCACAGAGACCAACTCAGCCCCAAAGTCATCTCCAGGTTCAGGCCCTGGCTGCCCCAGTGGACAGGACTCAGCTCTGCGCTGTGTCTCCTCCAGGGCTCTCCACAGCTTTGCAGGTACCTGGAGTCAGAAACAAACACCGTTGCCCATCCCTCCAGCCCGCCTGCCTGAGAGCTGCCTGCTCTCAGGAGACGCTCCGGGGCCGGGGGTGCTGGGCCGAGGGCTCCGCACCTCCCCTACTGCCCTGACCACGGTCTGTCTCCTTTCTCCGTGTCCTGTGGCTATAGATTACCCGTGAGGACCCACGAGAGCATCCGCTCAGCTAACGCCACTGGGATGAAAGTTTTTCCCATCTTCCGTAACTGGTCTCCACCCGCAGCCCTAGGAGGGGCTCTGGGGTCCTGGGCAGCCACAGGGGCAGTGGCTGGAGTCCTCTCATCAGGCTCCCGTGGACAGTGCTGGGAGCAGGCACCGGAGCAAAGGGGCAGGCATGTCTCCTCTTGCATTTAGTGTGATCCAGCATGGGGCTCCGGCCAGGGCGATCGCCAGGGCAGGACTGACTTTGAACAGATTGTTCAGGCAGCTGCATCTTCCACCTGAAAAGGCTTTCGGGACCCAACAACGTGGGAATGCCTGTGTGTTTTGCTTCCCAAAAATCTGAGGCTGAGTGGGGCATAAAGGGTTGGTATTTCTGGACCCAGAGATTGAGACTCCCCAGGAGGCCTGAGGCGAGTGTCCGGCTCCAGTCTACCCACCCAGAGCTCCTGCCCGTCTCCCCGACCTGCCCACGGAGTTGTGTAGCCACCGACTGCCCTGTTCTTCCTGCAGGAGCTGCCCAATGGGGACCCCAAGGAGGGGCCTTTCCGGGAGGACCAGTGTCTGCTAGAGGGTAAGTGCAGCCTCTGCAGCCCCCGCTCCCCAAACCTTGAAGATTCCACCCCGTACCAAGGCAATGCCAGCAAGCCACCCATCAAACGCCCCTGCGTGCGGAGTCGGAGGCACTTCCCAGGTTTAGACACACTTTGTTCTTAACAAGTGACTAGTAGCTTGACTCGGGTCCTCGCTGGACTGGCAGCTGGGATCTGGCAGTGGAGACGCAAAAGGCCCCACCTGTGGCCAGAGCCCTAAGCTTGAGCTCTGCGAGCCTGTGTTTGTGGGTGGGGTGGCTCCGTACAAAGCTGACCTGTACGTTCTCAAGTCAGCCCTGGGCTATGTGAGACGCTGGCCTGGCCTGAGTCACTGCCATGGCCGTGTGCCTCGGTGGTGCCAGTCCTACCTGTGGCATGTGGCAGGTTGGCACTCGGGAGGCTGCGGGGAGGCCGGGCAGCAGGGCCGCCTTCAGACAGCTCCTGAGACTAAGAGACGTACCCAGACCCCCTTGGTGGGAAGGCAGGCCCAGAGCATCGTCCCGGCTCAGGCTCGGACCCAGAGCATCGTCCCGGCTCAGGCTGGGAGGCGCACCTGTCTGCGGGTGCTGAGCCGGGGCAGGCCCATGCTCCTATCCTGGGGACATGCAAGAACCAGAGAATGATGGAGTCACTGCACCCCAGAAATGAGAGTGCTGTTCATCCATCCTGCCCAGAGGCTGGGGGCGGGGCCGCCTGTTGACACACTCAGTGCAAGGTGGCCTGCTCAGCCTGTGGGCTCGGTGCCAGGGTTCTGGAGTGGAGGCCGCGGGGACTGTGTCTATGGGGAAGGAGGGAGGCCCTGGCCATCTTCCCCCATCCCTGAGGTGGTCGTCAGGGTCTGGAGCCACTGCAGCCTGGGGAGAAGAGAGCACACCTGGCTGTGACTGGCCGGGGAGGGACCTCCCTCCCCTCTGCAGGAGTCCCAAGATCAGGCTCTCGGCTCAGGCGTGTCTGGATGGGATCACGGTGCAGTGAGGGGAGGGCAGCGACGGCCCCCAGCAGGCACGTCCTCCATGTCCCCTCCTCCGGCCCCTTCACCATCTCTTGTCCCCCTAGTGGCACTGCCCCCCGAGAAAGCTGAGGGCCGAGAGCTCATGGGACAGCTCCTCAGCGCGGATGACGGGGAGAAAGCAGCAAACCGAGAGGGCCCTCGAGGCCCAGGCGGGCAGTGCCTCAACATTGACGTAGGTCTCCCTCCCGCCTTACCTGCGGGGACACGTCCCTGGGGTTGGGGGCACAGGGACAGATGTGTGCCACCCTAAAATGGGCATCTGTGGACACTGCATAGTTCACTCAGTTTTTCCCACGATTTACCCAGTTTAAGGGAAAACTCCAACATGCAGCCAAAGTCAGCAGGAGCCAGGGAGGGGGCGGGAGCTGGAGGGGGTGGGATGTTGCTGTGAATTTGTCCAAAACCCGCTGATCTAGCGTTAGATAACTTGAGCAGCGCTCCCAGCCTTGGCGCTCTTAGCACCACGGGAGTAATGCCAAAGCTCACTTGAGGGACAGCCCGTCTTCCCGCCTGCTGGAGGCAGAGCATGGGGGCTTCCGTGTCCCTGGGAGGGCGCAGGGAGGATTGGGGTCTCCGTGTTCAGTCAAGATTTCTGGAATTGACAACACTTGACAGTCAGTGTGACCTCTCCTCCTTCTGGGTAATGTGGGGTGCTTGCATGAGCTGAGACAGGTGTCACTGTGGGGAAACCGAGTCACGGGGCACGAAGCTGGGTCCCCCAGAGGAGGGCTGGAACTGGGCACGAAAGGGTCTGTTGGTTCCAGGGCTTCGGCTCCAGCCACGCTGCCCTCTACTCCCCCTTTCCGGCTGACACGAGGGACCCCTGGGAAAGGCCCCAGAAGACGCTGCCCCCTACGGAGTAGGGGTCACTGGCGTGTTGGTGTGGTCCCAGCCCCCTGTGCCCCTGCAGGCACTCCAGTGTGATGTCTCGGTGGAGGAGGACCGTCAGGAGTGGACGTTCACACTGTACGACTTTGACAACAGCGGGAAGGTCACCAGGGAGGTAGTGAGCTTGTGTTTGCGTCAGGTCTGCAGGAAGAGCCACGCGGGCCCCGTGTGGGCAGCTGGGGGCGGGGGGACAGACAGACCGTGCTGGCCTCGAGGTATCTCGGGACAGGAGGGGACCGCCGGCCAGCAGGGCTGGCATCTCCCCAGGGCCTGTGGCTCGTGCATTGCCGGGCTGAGCCTGCGCCACCCATTTCTGCAGCTGTAGCTCCCATGCTGCGGGGCCACCCTCAGGGCACTGGAGGCACTCGCAGGGCACCCGGCCACGACCGAGGCTGCTCAGAGAAGATGCCTGTGTGGGTCCCTGAGGTCTGTTGGCAGCTACGAGGATGGTGCAGGAAGGGGCAGGGCTGGGTGTGTCTTCTGGCAGGGAGGTGGGTGGCATCCCCTGCAGTCTGCTTTGTCAGTGACATCGATGCCCGGCCCCAGGACATGTCCAGCCTCATGCACACCATCTATGAGGTCGTGGGTGCCTCAGTCAGCCACTCCTCGGGCAGCAGCAAGACCCTCCGTGTGAAGCTGACCGTCAGCCCGGAGCCCTCCAGCAAGAGGAAGGAGGATCCTCCCGCCGGCCAGGGTGAACAAGGCCTGGGGACACACAGAGGGACCTACTCCACACTGGCAGGGGCCTAAGCTGTGTGCTGGGGACAGGGAGGGACAAGTGAGCGGATGGAGGAGTGAGCGGCGGAATGAATGAGTGGACGAGTGTGTGAGTGTGTGTGAGCGAGTGAGTGTGAGTGAATGTGTGTGAGTGAATGTGAGTGTGTGAGCGAGTGAACGAGTGTGTGAATGAGTGTGTGAGAGTGAATGAGTGGGTGTGAGTGAGTGAATGAGTGTGAGTGTGAGTGAATGTGAGTGAGTGAATTGAGTGAGTGATGAGTGAGTGAATGAGTAAGCAGGTGAGTTAACGAATGGATGGATGGGTAAGTGGGTGGGTGAGTGAGTGAGTGAATGAGTGTGTGAGTGAGAGTGTGTGTGTGTTAGTGAGTGTGTGAGTGTGAGTGAGTGAATGAGTGAGTGAACTGAGTGACGAGTGAGTGAATGAGTGAATTGAGTGAATGAATGGGTGAGTGAATGAGTAAGCAGGTGAGCTAACGAATGGATGGATGGGTAAGCGGGTGGGTAAGTGAGTGAATTCAGTGGGTGAGTGAGGAGTGAGTGAGTGAATAAGCAGTGAGTTAGTGAGTGAATGGAGGGGTAAGTGAATTTAGTGGGTGAGTGAATGCGTGTGTGAGTGAGGAGTCAATGGGTGAGTGCATGAATAAGCAGGTGAGTTAATGAATGAATGAGTGAATGGGTGGGCGAGTGAATTGAGTGGGTGAATGTGAGTGAGGAGTGTGTGAATAGGTGAGTGAATGAATAAGCAGGTGAGTGAGTTAATGTACGAATGAATGAGAGAATGAGTGAGTGCACCAATGAAGGAGGGAGTGAGTGACGGCAGGACCCCCTCTTTCAGACCGGATGCCCACCCACAGCAGGAAGGAGGGCGAGCTGGTAGAGGAGCCAAGGGTGGCCGACAGGAGGTTGTCTGCACACGTCAGGTGAGGGCTGGGGTGCCAGGGTGGGGCTGTGCCTTAGGCAGGAGCACCTTGGCCACACCTCTGCTTCCCGTACACCACAGGCCATGCACCATCCTCTAGGTCAGACCTGCTGGGTGCACCTGGGCTGGCAGCTTTATGGGGCACTGCCCCTTCCAGCATCTAGCACCCTGGCTGAGCTGGGCCTCCGAGTCTGTTGAAGCAGATGGCTTTGAGGGGCAGCAGCCACGGCGGCCTCGACACCCTCAGTCTGGACTTGCCATGGCTCCCTGTGGCTCCACTCAACAGCTTTGGGTGCAACAGGGCTACGGGTGGCTGGGACAGTGGCTGAAGGTAGTTGGGGCAGTGACTGAGGTGGCTGGGGTGGTGCCTGAGGGTGGCTGGGGCAGTGGCTGAAGGTAGTTGGAGCAGTTGCTGAGGGGGGCTGGGGTGTGCCTGAGGGGGCTGGAGTGGTGGCTGAGGGTGGCTGAAGGTAGCTGGGGCAGTGGCTGGGGCAGTGGCTGGGGGTGGCTTGGGCAGTAGCTGAGGTAATGACCAGGGGTGGCTGGGGCAGTGGCTGGCACAGTGGCTACAGTGGTCCCAGTGTGGTCACCAGGGGCCACTACAGCGTGAGCGGCTCCCCAGAGCGCCTGTGGCTCTGGGGCATGGGACCTGGAACAGAGATTGCAGGGTTCTGGGGGGCGGTGTGACCGTCTCTGGATAGCACATGGCTGGGTCTGTGCCGAGTCATCCACTCGCCTTCCTGCTCCTCGAGGAGGCGGGTGCTGGTCAGGTGCACCCGGGACCCCTGCCGCCTACTGCAGGCACCCCGTCGTCAGGGGTGCACTGCCCAGCCTGTGTGGGGGTCAGGCCTTTCTCTGTTCTCTACGCAGGAGGCCCAGCGCCGACCCCCAGCCCTGCTCAGAGCGGGGGCCCTACGGCGTGGACGAGAACACAGAGCGCAGGAACCACTACCTGGACCTCGCTGGGATCGAGAACTACACTTCCAGATTCGGCCCTGGTAGGTCCTGGAGGCCACCCTGGGTGCGAAGCGCTGGATGTGGGTGCCCTTGAAGGTCCTGGATTCCTGCGGCCCTGAGTTGGGGGGGCACCCCACCCAGCACCTAGGTCCTTCCACAGCTACCTGTTGGTGCCGCCCAAAAGCCAGGCGGGTGCCCCTTGTAGGTGTGTGTGTGGCAAGGGGTACCTGGTTCAAAGTGAGATGGAAGACGTCGGGTTTGCATTCAGGAAAATCCTGCCTTGGGGTGAGAAGTTGGTATTTTAGGGTAGAATCACTCAATAGAGGAGGTCGTCTAGTAGTGTGGATAGCAGGCAGTATGGACAGCAGGCAGGCAGTGTGGACAGCAGGCAGGCAGTGTGGATGGCAGGCAGGCAATGTGGACAGCAGGCAGTGTGGACAGCAGGCAGGCAGTGTAGACAACAGACAGTGTAGACAGCAGGCAGACAATGTAGACAGCAGGCAGACAGTGTGGACAGCAGGCAGGCAGTGTGGACAACAAGTGGTGTGGACATCAGGCAGTGTGGACAACAGTCAGTGTGGACAGCAGGCAGGCAGTGTGGACAACAGGCAGTGTGGACAGCAGGCAGTGTGGATGTCAGGCAGTGTGGATGTCAGGCAGGCAGTGTGGACAACAGTCAGTGTGGACAGCAGGCGGTATAGACAGCAGGCAGTGTGGATGTCAGGCAGGCAGTGTGGACAAGTGGTGTGGACATCAGGCAGTGTGGACAACAGTCAGTGTGGACAGCAGGCAGTGTGGACAGCAGGCGGTGTAGACAGCAGGCAGGCAGTAGACAACAGGCAGTGTAGACAGCAGGCAGGCAATGTGGTTGGCAGGCAGGCAGTGTGGACAACAGGCGGTGTGTATGGCAGGCAGGCAGTGTGGAGCAAAGCAGGCAGTGTGGACGGTAGATGGTGTGGACAGCAGGCAGTGTGGACAGTGTGGGCGACAGGCGGTGTGGACGGCAGGCAGGCAGTGTGGACGGCAGTGGCAGCCTGCCCAGCATGTGTTCATTCCCGACCAGCAGCACCCCCGTGTGGCCTGCAGGAAGATTCCTGGACCAAAGCCCAGGCCAGTCCCCAAGGGCTGGGGCCAAGTCCCTCTCATAATCCACACTTTAGGGTCCACGTGGCAGGAGGGGCAGTGTCCCTCTCATAACTCCCGCCTTAGGCATCCGCGGGGCAGGAGGGGTGGGGCTGGATCGGGGTCACAGGGGGCTCAGTGTGCCGTGCGCAGACCCCGGCCTCCTTGGCCATGCTCTGCCCAGGAGCTGCACACAGGGCTTACACCGCGCTTATGAGGGTGGCAGCCCTGGGTCCTTGTGGAATCTGTTGTGTGATGAGGGTTTAGGGGATGTGAATCCTGAGGTGCCCTCCCTGACGGGGTCTCAGCTGTGTGAGGACAGAAGCTCTGCTCCCAGGACACGCAGTGGGGGCGGGGTGGAGGAGCTGGCCTTCGCAGGGAGCTGCAGAGCCAGGCAGCAGGTCACCCCGGGGGCCGGCCCTTCCTCTTAGGACCTGTGGCCATCTGACTGCAGACCGGCTCACAGGCTGGCCTCAGATGGGACGCCCTGGCACAGCTCTTCCAGCGGGCCCTGGGCAGTCGGCCGTTTTGGAGGAGATGGGAACCCAGTTGTGCGCTCTGGCCTGTACTCCCAGTGCCTCACCCTCTGACCTGTGTCCACAGGGTCCCCTCCTGTGCAGGCCAAGCAGGAGCCCCAGGCCAGGGCCTCACACTTCCAGGGCCGGTCCCGCTCCCAGGAGCCGGACACACACACCGCATACCATCGCAGGTCACAGGTGCTGGTGGAACACGCCGTGCCAGCCTCGGAGCCTGCTGCCAGGGCCCTGGACGTGCAGCCCCGGCTGAAGGGGCCAGAGAAGCAGTTCCTCAAGTCCCCCAAGGGCTCCGGGAAGCCAGCCGGGGTGCCAGGCGGCAGCCAGTCCGGGAAAGCCTTCAGCTACTACCTGCCGGCTGCCCTGCACCCCCAGGCCCCTCAGGATGGCCACCACCCCCCGCAGCCTCCCCCGCCGCCCTATGGCCACAAGCGGTCCCGGCAAAAGGGCAGGGAGGGCCACTCGCCACTCAAGGCCCCACACGCCCAGCCTGCCGCGGTGGAGCAGGAGGTGGGGCAGGACCTGCCGCCCACGCCAGCGGGAGAGCGCTTCGTGGTGCCAGTGATCCACCACCACGAGCACCACCACCACCACGAGCACCACCACCACCACCACCACCACCACCACGTCCACCCGTCCTAGCGCCGCCGCTGGCACGCCTCACTCCCAGCGCAGCATGGCCCACGCGCCCTCGGCAGGGAAGCAGAGCAGGTGCCCGCTGTGTGCCCGAGGGGAGCCTGGTTCCCCCCACGTCCAACAGCGAACAGCAACCTACTGCAGGTGCCCGCGTGGTGGAGGTGGCACAGCTTGGTCACGCGGCCCAGGTGCCCTCTGCTCTCTTGCCCTCAATGCCGCGTGGCGGCGAACATGTCTGAGGCCGCTGTGTTTCCCAGCTCTAAAGCTTGTCTGTGTAACCCATAAAACCTGCATGTGAGCGTGGAAGACACACTTGTATCTGCTTTCCTTTATGATTCCAAAGTGAGGCCCTGGAGGGCACGGGGCATGCCCGGACGCTGGGGTGGGTGTTCCTCCCAGGGCTTGGTGCTGCTGGCACTGTAGGCCCTCCCAGTGCGAGGCCGGGAGCCGTTGGGAAAGCCGAGGACTTGCGTGGCTCATGTGTCATGAAGCCAGAGGGGCCAGGGTCGGGGGAGCAGCTTGTGGTTAGCAGGTGGCATCCACAGCTCCCGCGGGAGGCCAGGCAGCAGCGCTAGAACGAGAAGTGCCGGGCCTGGGGCGGGGGAGCCCAGACCAGGGAGGAGGGGAGCCTAGGGTAGCACAGGGGGCAGAGGCAGCCCAGGTCCCAGAGCCACGGCAGCTCAGGCGGATGCCGGCGGCAGGACGCAGGGCAGGGAGGCGCGGAGGCTCAGCGGAACACGGGGACCGGAACGTTTGTGGTCCCGACACTCATGGGGCAGCTTCTGTGACACGTCAGCTTTGGAGAAAGTCACCTTGAGGTGACTGCGTGTCCCCCTGCAAGAGTCAGGAGAAGGCTGCAGGCCAGCAGGATGTGCTGGCGACGTTCCTGAGTCTCGCAGCCTGTGGGGACCCACAGTCGCCCCAACAGGAACCGTGCGGTGCCTTCTGGGACCCGGGGGCCTGCCCTGCGGTTCTGCGTTCGCCTTCCTTGTGTTGTTTTTAAGGTTAAAGCAAACCGACGGCCAACTGGTGACAGGTGTTTCTCAGGTCTAATAGGAATATCTGCATTTTGTACCATGCCACACCCTGTATTAAAATAAGCTTTTCAAAGATGTGGTCAGTGTTCTTGTTGGTCACTCCACTCCGCCAGCCGGTGGCCAAGGGCGCGGAGAGCAGGCTGCCTGCGCGGGGCTGTGGGAGGAAGCGTGCCCGTCCCCAGCGTAGAGGGTGATAAAGGTGCACACGCACGTGCACACACTCCATAACTACAGGGGCCTTTTTTGTTTTTTCCACGTTACCGCTCTAAGAAAATCCCAAAATAAACCAAACCCGGCAACAGGAACACAAGGCACCTCTGTCTTGGCTGCGTGACCCCAGCTTTATGGAGAGAAGTTGGGCTCTTTGTGAAGAGGAATCTGTGGAGAAGCCACGTGGCGTTTGCTCATTTTCTGCTTCTCTGCTCCTGGGTGTTGAAAAACCCCTTGGGCCTTCCCAGTGGCGTCTCTTCCGTGACCACTGGAGAACGCTGTGTTCTCGGGGCTCCTGAGGCCAGGGTGCTCACAGCACTCCAGGCTCCTCCTGGAGGCACTGCCTTACCTTGAGGTGACTGCACTTCACTCACATGACACCTGCTCTGGAGGCGACACACTAGGAAGGTTCATCTGGGGATGCAGGGATGTCACTCCCGGCCTCATGTTGAGGGGACCTCGTTTGTTTAGTCCCAGAGGACCTGTCAGACCCCTGCACACCCTCTGGGCCAGGCTCAGCCAGCGGTCTGGGGAGGAGGGAGCTCTGCGGACTTGGGTCCCCACCTGCTTGCCTCTAGGCCTCGGTATTAATAACTGTTAAGTGCAGGTGGGAGTCCAGCAAACACGAGGCAGGGGTGGGATTCCAGTGCTGAATGAGCCGTGGAAACAGAGGCGCTGCCACCGCTGCCCACCTCCAGCCGGGGCCTGCCTCACACAGAGGGGCCCTTGGTGCCCTGGGGCGACACACTTAAGCCTGAACGAGGCAAGAGGCACGAACAGGGTTTGGAAGTTTGTCCCCTCCAAGTCTCATGTGGAGATGTGGGCCGCAGTGCTGGGTGGGGCCCGTGGGAGGGGTTTAAGCCATGGGGGGTGGACCCCTGAATAGCTTCGAGCCCTCACTGTGGGGATGGGTGAGCTTTCATTCTGAGTTCTCAGGAGATCTGGTTATTTAGAGCAAGGGCCCCCAACCCCCAGGCTGTGGACTGGTCCCGGTCTGTGGCCTGTTGGGAACCAGGCCCACAGCACGAGGTGAGCAGCAGGTGAGTGAGTGTGACCACCTGAGCCCCGCCATTACGTCCTCACAGGGGCTGGAACCCTGCTGTGCACTGCACGTGTGAGGGTCTAGGCTACACACTCGAGAGTCTAATGCCTGATGATCTGAGGCGGAACCACCCCACACCCACTGTCTGTGGAAACCTTGTCTTCCACGAAACCAGTACCTGCTGCCAAAAAGGTTGTGGGGCTGCTGCTTGAAAGCAGCTGGCACCGTGCCATCTCCCCCTGCTCTGACCATGTGACATGCCTGCCCCTCCTTCACCTTCTGCCTTGAGTGGAAGCTTCCTGAGGCCTCACCAGAAACTGAGCAGATGCGGGCATTGTGCTTGTACAGCCTGCAGAACAGAGAGCCCAATAACCCTCTTTACAAACACCCCAGTGCCAGGTATTCCTTTACAGCAACACAAAACAGACTAACGCAAGAGTCTCCCCCCACCAAAAAGAAACCCCACAAAAACCCCATGCATGAAAGTGAGCCAGTGCTGACACGGTCTCATTCATTAAACACCCACAGGTAAAGACCGCCATCTCATGAGTTACACTGCAGCAGCTTGGCCTGCGGCCAGGGCGAGCTGTGTGTGTGAAGCTGTTGGGCACCATCTCCAGCAGCCCTGGCACCTGGTGGATGGGAAGGGACACAGCACAGGCTGGTGTCAGGTGCTGCTCTGGCTCTCGGGCCACACCTGTCAGGCGGATGTAGGTACCACCAGGAGGAAGGCCGTGCAGCGCTGCAGGTGAGATGGAGACGGAAGCTCCTCGGAGGACCCCAGCAGGGGCACACAGCCTGCTCCTGGGGCAGCTCTGCCTGCCGTTTGGCCCAGTCTTCCTGCCATGCTGGTGCCAGGAAGGCTTCGCCGCACGAGACCAGGTGGTGAGGGGCATGCAAGGATGGAGGCCTGTGTCACAGAAACCAAATGCCTTGCGCTTCCGAGTGTAGACTGACCGCCGCATGATCTCGGAGCTGGACCAGCCTGTACCTGAGTGAATGGGTGAGTGATTTGGTGCGAATCAGTGAGTGAATGGGTGGGTTAGTGTGTGAACGAGCAGGTGAATGAGTGAACGGGTGCATAAATGAATGGATCAGTGAATGAGTGAGGGGCTGAGTGGGTGAGTAGGCGAATGAATGAATGGGTGACTGAGGGGGTGAGCTGTGAATGAATGGGTGCTTCGGAGTGAATGGACAAGCGGGTGAATGAACGGGCGAGTCCAGGAACAAGAGGATGAGTAGGTAAGGGGAGTGGTGTGCAAATGAGTGTGTGAACGAGTGCATCAGTGGGTTAGCGAATGGGTGAATGAGTATGTAAGTGAATTAGTGTGCAAATGAGTATGTGAATGAGTGCCTCAGTAGGCTAGTGTGTGAATGGGTGAATGAGTGTGCAAATGAGTGGGTGAACGAGTGCCTCAGTGGGTTAGTGAATGGGTGAATGAGTAGGTGAGTGTGCAAACGTGTGTGAACGAGTGCCTCAGTGGGTTAGTGTGTGCATGGGTGAATGAGTAGGTGAGTGTGCAAACGAGTGTGTGAACGAGTGCCTCAGTGGGTTAGTGTGTGCATGGGTGAATGAGTAGGTGAGTGTGCAAACGTGTGTGAACGAGTGCCTCAGTGGGTTAGTGTGTGCATGGGTGAATTAGTAGGTGAGTGTGCAAACGAGTGGGTGAACGAGTGCATGAACGTGTGTGTGCATGGGTGAGTAGGTGAGTGTGCAAATGAGTGGGTGAACGAGTGCATGAACGTGTGTGTGCATGGGTGAGTAGGTGAGTGTGCAAACGAGTGGGTGAACGAGTGCCTCAGTGGGTTAATGTGTGCATGGGTGAATGAGTAGGTGAGTGTGCAAATGAGTGGGTGAATGAGTGCATGAACGGGTTAGTGTGTGCATGCATGAATTAGTGGGTGAAACAAAGAATCAGGAGAGTGAATTAGCAGCGTGGGAATTCGTGGGTGAACGAGTGGGTAAGTAAATGAGGGAGCAAGTGCATGAGTGGGCTAGTGTGTGAATGAGTGGGTGAGTCCCAGAACAGGAGAGGATGAGAAGGGGAGGGAATTAGTGTGCAAATGAGAAGGTGAACGAGTGGGTAAGCGAATGAGGGAAGAGGGCATCAGCAGGTGAGTGTGAATGAGTGAATGATAGCGTGTGAATGAGTGATACTGTGTGAATGAAGGAGTGTTAGTGTGTGAATGAATGAATGTGTGTGAATGAGTGGATGTTACTGTGTGAATGAGTGGATGTTAGTGTGTGAATGAGGGACTGTTAGTGTGTGAATGAAGGAATGTTAGTGCGTGAATGTTAGTGTGTTAATGAGTGGATGTTAGTGTGTGAATGATGGAATGTTAGTGTGTGAATGTGTGTGAATGAATGTTAGTGTGTGAGTGAATGTTAGTGTGTGAATGTTAGTGTGTGAATGAATGTTAGTGTGTAAATGTTAGTGTGTGAATGAATGTGTGAAGGAATGTGTGTGAATGAGTGTAAATGAGTGAATGTTAGTGTGTGAATGAAAGTGCGTGAATGTTAGTGTGTTAAGTGGATGTTAGTGTGTGAATGTGTGTGAATGTTAGTGTGAGTGAATGTTAGTGTGTGAATGAATGTGTGTGAAGGAATGTGTGTGAATGTGTAAATGAGTGAATGTTACTGTGTGAATGATGGAATGTTAGTGTGTGAATGAATGTGTATAAATGAAGGAATGTTAGTGTGTGAATGAGTGTAAATGAGGGAATGTTACTGTGTGAATGATGGAATGTGTGTGAATGAATGTGAATGAGTTAGTGTGTGAATGTTAGTGTGTGAATGAATGTTAGTGTGTGAATGTGTAAATGTGTGAATGTTAGTGTGTGAATGAAGGAATGTTAGTGTGGGAATGAGGGAATGCTAGTGTGGGAATGAATGTTAGTGTGAAGGAATGTGTGTGAATGAGTGTAAATGAGGGAATGTTAGTGTGTGAATGAAGGAATGAGTGGGTGACGGCTCTATCCAAGTTCTTGCTCTTTGGGAAGCACCCACTGAGGCTAGGAAGAAGCCTGTTTTTCGAGGTCCCAGGGAAGGGGATACCCAGGGGTCTCTGGCTGGGCCCTGGTCCCAGATGTGTGGGTGTCAGCGGGTCCCCAAACCTCCCTGCTGAAACTGGTGAGCATGTGGCCCTCCGTCAGGACACCAGGCCCCCCAGCCGGCCACGGACACCTGCATGCAGCCAGCACTCACCCGTCAGGTCCGAGGACGAGGCTGCCCTCAGGGTCACTCTCCTGTGGCCCGAGGGCCAGCATAGGCCTGGACGCCCTCCTGTGCTGTCCCTTCCCATCTGCCATGCGCCAGGCTCGCTGGAAATGGCACCCAGCAGCGTCACATACAACTTCATCGTGCACGACGCCGTGTACCAGCACGTAAGCTTTCTACAGCCGTTTCGGAATGTTTTCACCCCGGAAAGAAACTCATGCCCCTCAGGCCGTCTCCCTCCACTCCGCCTGGCCCGCCCTGGCACCCACCAGTGCACTCCCGGCCTCTGGGCTGGCCCGTTCTGGCATTTTGCGTAAGTGGCGTCCACAGTGTGAGACCCCTTGTGTCCGGCTTCCTCCCTTGAGCGTGAGGCTTCCAAGCCTGGCTCCTGGCTCTAGCCGGGTGAGGCCCCACAGCAGGCACGGCCAGGTGGACTGGTCAGATTCTCGGACCGCGCCCACTCTGGCAGCCATGAACCTACGTGCACCCGCCCCTGAGTCCATGCCACACACCAGGAGCGGACCTGCTGGGGAAGGGGCGGCTCCGTGCCTCACACTTTCGGGAACCACAGGCCCTCCCGTGCAGCTGCAACCACGCAGGAGGGCTCCGATTTCACGTCGTCACCGCGACCCCCCACTGTTTGGGCTGTGGCCATCACAGGTGTGAGGTGGCATCTCATCGTGTGTCAGAACACGCCAGCACCACTCATGGTGGACTGTGGTGCATCCACCCTGATTACAGATAGAATGGCCGGGCACGGTGGCTCACGCCGTCATCACAGCACCTTAGAATGCTGAGGCAGGCAAATGACTTGAGGCCACAAGTTCAAGACCAGCCTGGCCCACATGGTGAAACCCCACCTCTACTAAATTACACAAATAAGCCAGGCGTGGTGGTGCATACCTGTGATCCCAGCTACTCAGGAGGCTGAGGCAGGAGAATCGCTTGAACCCGGAAGGTGGAAGTTGCAGTGAGCTGAGATGGCGCCATTGCACTCCAGCCTGGGCGACAGAGCGAGACTGTCTCAAAAATAAATTAGATTGGGGCCCTTCAACACACGGCACTAGGAAGTTTGAGGTAAGGTCAGTTCCATGCTGGTGGCGTGATTTGGAAGTCCTCGTCCAATTCACAGGGCCACTCTTCAGCCCCGAGCTGGCTACGGCTGGTCGGCCCTGACACTCCTGCTAGAGAAGGGGCAGCCGGTACAATTTCTCCAGTCGTCTAATTTTTACGTTGAACGAGACTTAAGATTCTTCAACAGACTCAGATTTATTAGGATTTTATTTTGCTACTAACAAAATTGTACAAAGGAACCTACAAAGGGAACACGGAATCAACTTTCAACAGCTGCAGTTACCGGTGACACGAGCCGACAAGGGGAAGGGTGCCTCGCGTTGCTGCGCACAGAAGCCACAGCCCAGGGCAGAGGCAGAGTGGGGCCCTCATGAGGCGTCTCGTGGGAGGACTCAGTGGCCCTCAGAGGCGTCCCGCACGCAGGGTCTCCCAGCCACCAACCAAGGTTCACAGGCCACCGCGCCTCCAGCCTGCTCTCCTCCAGGTGCAGGGGACGCAGGACCTGTCGGCCCCACCCAGACGCGGAGGAGAGTTCTGCTGCTGAACTCAGGGCTCAGCCGAGACGGGCAGAGGCTGCGGGAATGCTGGGCCCTGCGGTGATGTCTGGGACACACTCTGGGCAGCCGACTCTACAGCAATGCCAGCCCCAGTGCAGCGCCTCAGAAACGTCTGGAAGCACACGTGCAGCCTCTGCCCGGCTTTGAACTTCGGCGATGGGGCTGATTCCCTCGGGAGACCGTGCAAGCCGGACACGGCCCAGGGCCTGGCCACCTGGGGCCTCTAGTATAGAAGCAGCCTCTTGATGGAAGGCGTTACCACGAACTCCCTGGGTGTTTAAATAAATAAATAAGCCACACAGAAAGGGAGGCCCCAGGCAGTGCCACCGCCGCAGCCTGCAGATGCAACCACAACCTACAAAGCAGAAACTCACAGCGGAAGTGAAAAGTGTGCTGGGACCTTGACAGGTATCTCTTTTCAGTGCCACTGCCGCCTCCACGAAAGACACAGGCCACGGCAGGGGATGCCTGGGAGTCAGCCGGACAGACCTCACGCCAGGCGCCACTGCTGTCCGAGGACCTCCCACGCAGAGGCCGTGTCCCCCTTCTCTGGAGTGCCAGGGTAGGGATGCCACGTGTGAGCCAGCTCAGAGGCTGAACCGTGTGCCGTGCTCGTGGGGTGGAGTCCCAACTGTAGTGGGCTGTGGGGGGAACTCGGCGTTCACTCCGCGTACACACCTGCGCACCTGGGTTTCAGTGCATTCACCTGCACGAGGCGCTGACAGCACCAGTGCCGTGAGCTGGGCCCCATCAGTGCTCATGAATGAAGCGGCTGGTTTTCTGAAGGCGGATGGAGACTTGGATGGCAGCAGACACGGCCTGGCGTGGCAGACAGACAGCTGGGGGCTCCTTCCTGGAGCATAAGCCCCCAGGGACACACCATGTTCACCATACACCCGACAGGTGGTCCAGCGCATTCCAGAAAAACTGAGTTCCGTTTCCAGATGGCCCCGGCCACGCCAGCTGGTGAAGCATGGACCTGCCGAGCCCAGAGGCTCCCACACGAGGGTGATGCAGGCGTGGACAGTGTCCCCAGTTTTGCTGCCTTGAGGTGCAGAAATGCAAAAACAACCAAGGAACAGAGCGACTCAGAGGCGACCAAGACCCTGCAGGGAGCCGTGGCTGGGGCTGACATTTCACCTTTATCACCAGGGACAGCCTCAGCTCCGGTGCTCTTCCAAGAATGTTCCGGATAAGGGAGAAATGCAATCTAACCACTGGGTAAGTCCAGCCAAGGAAAAGGACTTCCAGAAACCAAGCGAGGGGTCGCTGGCCTCTCGTGACCTGCAAGAAGATCCGGCCGTGTCCAGGTCACTCCTGCAGGCGCGTCCGCCCTCGGACTCAAGGAAATCCAGTCATGCCCTCGCCGGCCCAGCCTGTGGTTTAAGGCTGCTGAACAGGAGAGCCCTAGGTGGCGGGCCTAGAAACCTCAGAAGGAAGCCCCATGGCAGGCCAGGCGGCATTGCTGGGGACAGGTGTGTCTGCCGTCTGTTTCCCTGGGCCGAGCCTGGGTGCAGGCTGCCCACGCCATCCCCCGTGCCCGCCCCAGCGCGCCGCGATGCTGCTGAGCGTTAGGAGTAGATGGTGATCACCTCCCGGCCGCCGCCCCTGACCAAGAGGACTCTGTTCAGCCCCTCGGTCAAGACCTCAAGAAACTCCATGTCTGGTCAGCAGAGTTAAGGCCACAGCTGATCTCACCTGGGCACGCAGAGCTGGAATGGTGATGGGGGTGAGGTTTTACCCTCTTCCGGGTTAGCTAGGATGTGGTCTGAGAACACCAGAGCCAACGTGAGAAGTGGGTGGGGAGAAGGGAGGAAGGGGAGGAAGGGGCAGGGCAGGGGAGAGAGGGGCTCGTGCTCAGGAAAGAGAGGGAGCTCCGTGGCCACAGGGAGGACCAGCAGAGACAGCGACGGAGCCCATGGTGCAGACCCCACCTGACAGGGATCCCCAGCCAGGTGACTGGGTCCCGGCCGGCCTACAGGTGAGCTGGGGCACGGCTTCTGACCAGGACACACGGAGGACACGCCCTCGCTGGCCCCGCACTCTGGGTGCTGCCCTAGCAGGGATGTGCCAAGGGTCGTCCTGTCTGTGCCAATACACCCAGATACATCATGGAGCCCGTCTTCCCAATAAAGCACAAGTGCCCAAAGCTTTGGCCAACCGGGGCCTTAAAGCCGAGAGCTGGGCTCCCTGCCTCCCATCGCCTTCGGGGCAGGGTGCGGCTGAGCCCCAGGGAAGGTCCCAGGATGCACAGTTGCTGTGGGGGTGCATGACGGGGGTGGGGGGCGCTCCTAGCCCCAGGGCAGCCCTGAACACCCAGGGACAGTTGGGGGTCTGGCACTGCAGGCAGGACCTCCCTCCCCACGCCAATGCCACCACTGGCTGCAGAGCCCCTCTGCATCCCAGTCGCAGCTCCCAGGGCCTGGGGCTGAAGGAAAGGCGCGAAGCCAGCCTGGCTCACAGCACCCACAACCCCAGGTCTTGGCGAGAAGCTGCCAGGGACAGCTGCACGCCTGCAGGCACACCGTGGGAAAGGATACAGTTCTCGTCCCCCTGCCGGTTTTTTGGGGGGCCCGGCATGTTGAGAAGGACCAGCTGCGCATCCTGGGACTTGCTGAGGACGACGCCGTTGAGCTTCACGGCCGTGTGCATCCGCCTGACGTTGGACTGGTCCCTGGGGGGAGGGGGGCATGGTCAGCAGGAGGTGGGCACGCTCCACGCTCCGGACACGAGGCCGGGCCGAGCCCTGATGAGCCTGCATTCACATGCGTTGGAAAGGGCCGTGTGAGTCGGGGTCAGGCGGAATCCCCAACCCTGAAGGACGCAGAGGCGGCGGCTCCGAGCGAGAGGCGCTGACGGCAGCCAGGCGGGTGCTCAGCAGCAGGAAGCTCTGGGCCCTGGAACTCAGCACACTAGGGCTGCCAAGCTTCGAAGGGCCACGGAGTCACACGACACGAACTGCAAGCGCTTCCTGAACTACATCTACGTCTGCGAAGCTGGCGGAACGGAGTGGAAGCTACCTGGGTGTCCCGAGTGCCTGGTGCCTTTCAAGGCTGACACACTTCTCTTACATCCATGGCGTTCCCCGAGCCCCACATTAGATGCTGTCAGGCTGAGCACACGTGGTCTCCTCTCCGAGGGTCACACAGCTGGGTCCAAGGGGCCGGAAGCTCAGGGGGGAAAGGCCCACAGCTGCCCCCGGCCTGTGCAGCCATCGCTGCTGAAGCTCCCAGGCCTGTGACAGGCAAGGACTGCTGAGAACTCAGCTGGGGGCACAGGCGCTCACAGTGGCCACTACTGGGGTCCTTTCCCACGGCCCACCTTGCCCCTGCCTGGCCGAAGAAAAAGCATTTCCATCATGTGGCCACCCAGACTCTGCTTTCCATCCTCACTTCCACCACGTGGCCATCCAGACCCCGCCTGCTGTCCTCACTTCCACCACGTGGCCATCCAGATCCCACCTTCCATCCTCACTTCCACCACATGGCCAACCAGATGCCACCTTCCATCCTCACTTCCACCACGTGGCCATCCAGATCCCACCTTCCATCCTCACTTCCACCGTGTGGCCAACCAGATGCCACCTTCCATCCTCACTTCCACCACGTGGCCATCCAGATGCCACCTTCCATCCTCACTTCCACCACGTGGCCATCCAGACCCCACCTTCCGTCCTCACTTCCATGGCATGGCCCAGACCCGCCTTCCATCCTCACTTCTACCACGTGGCCATCCAGACGCCACGTTCCATCCTCACTTCCACCACGTGGCCATCCAGACCCCACCTTCCATCCTCACTTCTACCACGTGGCCATCCAGACCCCACGTTCCATCCTCACTTCTACCACGTGGCCATCCAGACCCCACCTTCTGTCCTCACTTGCACCACGTGGCCCAGACCCTGCCTTCCATCCTCACTGACAACGGGGCCCTGCTATGAAGCTGCCATGGCAGTCCACATCTCAGTGTTCCTGGTGGCCTAGGCCGGGCCACAGCCCCCCAGGAGGGTCCCCAGCCAAGGAGGTTTGGGGACACTACAGACTCCCGCTTGCAGGTGCTCACGCCCTGCGGGACAGGGCTCATCTCCCTCCTCCACCCCATGGTCCCTCTGAGGTAGGCCCCCTAAACGGCAGCAGAACTGGCATTCCAGGAAGCCGCCTCGGGAAATCTGGCAGAGACCAGCCCTGGGAGCGCTTGTGTTTCTGGTGGAAAAACCTGGCCTGTGGGTGGACCTGCAGGTCCCAGTGGGTCTCAGGCCAACTGCGGTCAGCACAGCCCTACACAGTCTTGTGGTCCCCTGGGGAGGTCACCAGTGCCCCGGACACAGAGGGTGGGGCAGACAGACAGAGGCCGTCCATGCAGGGTCACAGAGAGGCCCCGAAAACGCCGTCTGTCCAGGCTCACGCCCTTTGATCCACTTGACTCTTAAGCCAAATAAACCTGATCATAACCACCAATTTTCAGGAGGAACACAGAGAGACCTTTCATCTTCTCTCCAGCTCGATTTAATTATAGATGGGGTCTCTGTCCACCACACAGTCAAGGGGCTTTTGATATAGGAACTTGGAACTTTGGACTCAACTTCTGGATAGACCACAATTACCAGTGTGTTTGTGGACAAAGAGCAACTCCAGGAAGTAAGGCCAGGCCAGGAGCACAGGCAGGGCGGGGTGGGGCAGGGTGAGCCGCATGACCACAGCAGTGAGTGCTGGGGGGCCCTGCCCCCGACTGCTGGGAGTGGTGTGCTGGCCACCATAGCAAGGAGGACCAGTGGAGACGCATGCACAGACGTGTCTGTATGTGCTGATGTGTATACGCACACATGCAGACACACTGACATGTACACACACAGGCACGCAGTCACACTAATATACAAACATGTGCAAACATGTACACACCCAGGCATGCAGTCACACTAATGTGCACACAACTGTGTATAGACACTAACATGTCAGACATGCACATGTGCACACGTACAGACACGTACACCCACACGCGCAGACACGTACGCTGACACATACACTGACACGTACGCCCACGTGCACAGACAGATGTGTGTCCACCAGCAGGTGCGCTGACAGGTACACACGAGCGAACACACAGACATCCCTAAGTGTGCTCCCAGGGACACCACGGTAAGCCCTGCACACCTCACGCCTGCACTGCCTAGGAAAAGGTCAGGGCCTGACCTCCAGACATTCTGGGGGCTTCTCCCAGCCCAACCCCGAGGAGTTGCTGGACTGGGAGAGTCGGTCCTGTCCCAAACACACTCCCACGTCATCATCCATTTCGGCCCACCTTCTCCTGACCCTACAGGCCAGTGGGGACCTGCCCCTGCCCCAGGCCTAGGTGGACGCACAGGGTCACTGCAGGTGCTCAACTGTGCGCCCATGTGTGGGGGCGGGGTCAAAGCCTGCTCCTGGGACTAGGTCATGCGGCTTTAACGAACATGCTATTCTGAAGGCACGTTTAGATTTACAGAACAGAACAGGAAGTACAGGGGCTCCCTGCCTGCCTCCCACACAGGTGCACGGTTTCTGGTGTCTGATTAATTCAGGTTTCAGGGTAAATATAAAAAATGAGGTGTGGCCACTCAGCTGGCGCGTTCCTCTCTCAGGCCCCAGGCACCGCCTGCCCATGATGAAAACACGGCCCAGGCAGCTACTCGTGGGGGCAGGCGGGGGACAGAGAGCTGAGGACTCCCAGGGACCAAGCTTGGGGGTCCGTCCAGGGCACTCCCTCCCACCTGCCCCAGAGCTCAGACACAGGCAGCTCCCACCCCAGGGCCTGACCACACAGAGAACTGCTCCACACCCCTCTCCACCTGGAGACAGAAGGGTAACTCCCCGGGGTGGACGGCGTTAACGTGGAAACCATTCTGGGTGGGGACACAACTCGGCCAGTGCCCGACCCAGAAGGACGTGGACAGACTCACTGACAGGTCCTGCCAGCACATGCCTCCCCTCCACGCAGGAGCGGCTCGGCCACCTTCCAGGTCTCAGTTCCTGGGCCTCGCTGAGGAAGAGGCTTCGGGTGTGTGCCGGAGCCACCGTGAACACAGGCGAGCAAAAGCAACGGGAAACAGACGTGGGAGCTGAGGCAGCACTGGGTAAGCTCTAGCTGCACACGGGTGACACCGCACAGGCATGCAGGGAAACTGAAGCCTGGAACACGCACAGGGACACACGCGGGCCACGCCACGCGGGCATGCAGGGAAACTGAGAGGCCGGGAACTCCCACACAGGGGCACCTGGGTCACACACACACATGGACACATGCAGGCTACGCCACGTGAGCATGCAGGGAAACCAGGAGGCCCGGAACACACACGCAGGCCACGCCACGTGGGCATGCAGGGAAACCAGGAGGCCCGGAACACACACGCAGGCCATGCCATGCAGGCATGCAGGGAAACCGGGAGACCCGGAACACACACACAGGCCACGCCACGCAGGCATGCAGGGCCACCAGGAGGCGACCTGGTTGCAGTGAGTGGACTTACAGATTTCCCCATTCTCTATGCAGGAGAGAAAAACAAGAGTGTGTTACTGACCTCAGGAGTGAGCACCGGCCGTTCCAGGCATCACAGCTGCCCAAGAGAATGCCGCCTGGGCCCACCCCACAGGGCCCGGGAGCCCCCAGGCCTTCCTGAGAACCGGGCGTTAGGCTCTGCCTTCGACCCCAGGTGAGACGTGTCTGGTGCTCTCACCTGGGACTCCGGCTGCGTCTGCAGAACCAGACCTCAGCCAGCCCTGGCGGGCAGCTCTGTTCTCTAACGGGCCCGCTGGTCTTTGGGGTTTCTGCGAAGCTCTTCAGTGGTCAGGGGAGAGACTCCATCCTCACCACCAGATCTGTCACCCCACCCCGCCCAGCCACAGGCACGGACACTCACGGCTTCATGCTGAAGAGGTCTTTGAACCCGGACAGGCTGGCGTCTTTGTTCCTGTGCTTCTCGGCGATCAGCTTCTCCCTGGTCCAGGTCATCTGTACCTTGTCCGGCGTGGGTGGCGCCTGGGTCCTGGCTGCCGCTGTGGTGTGGGACGCGGTGTTCCTGTCATGGATCAGCTGGGCCTGGCAGGCCCGGGACTTGGTGAGACCAGCTAGTCTCAAAGCTCCCCTGGACCCCGGACGCCAGGCCAGAGGCAAGGCCGGCTCAGACCACAGAACCAAAAGGGCAACAGGAAACAGACAGGCCTCCCACAAGGTCCTGCGCCCCACCCCCGAGGCCGCCTCCCTCCTCCAGGCTTCCAGACCAAACGTTCACTTCCTCTCCCCATTTCTCCCCCCACCTTCCCACCGGGCCCTGAACTGGAGAAAGAGGCCCCACGACCCCGTGCTGACGTGAGCGGACGCGTGCTGGGAGAGTCTCCTTGCTTGACGGGGCCCTGTGCACGCTGTGTTCACCCCAGACCACCCGCTCACCCACATGACCAGCACGCAGGCGGCCCTGCCTCACGGAGGCTCGGGGCAGGTGGGGGCCGTGCTGGGATCCACCCCGTCCCTGGGAAGCAGGCTGTGTCTGATCAGCCAGGGGACACTCAGGGCCCGGCCAGGCTGACAGGGGGTCTGTGGGGTACCACTGGGGCACCGTTGGGGCAACGACGGGGCCACTTCTGGCAACCCGAGGAAAATGAAAACATCGCCCGGCAGCACCGTCCACACCCCTTAGCTGTGGGTGCCAAAAGGCAAGTGGGCGGTCACCTGATGTTGCCACCACTGCTGGTTCAAGACCTTCCCTCCCCGTCACCGCCAGGTCGCAACAGCAGCACACCCGCTGGTTACAGACCCTCCCCGCGGCCTCCCCACTCCCTGCCGCCTTCACGCCCTCCGTGCTGCCGTGCCCAGCCTGAAGGGTAGGGCCGATGGGAGCTCGCAAACACGGGTGCCACCTTGGAAGTGACGTTTACGTGGGGCCTGAATGGCCGCCTCTCCCACTGTGGCTGGAGCCCTGCCTGAGCTGGACGCAGCCCCGGGAGCTGCTTGTCCCAGGGGCATCAGGAGTCTGGGAGCCCCGGGATGACTTTAAAAAGCCAAAGGCCCACGGTGATTTCACCAGACCAGGTTCTTCCTCCCCCAGATGAAAATGTTTAAAGTGGGTGTCGGCCCTTTCCAAAAGGGAGGAGACTGGCAGGGACTGGGGAGGGCCTGGGGCTGCCTCCCTCCCCGGACTCCGACAGGGGCCCCCAGGCCGCTACTCACTGTGGCTGGCCCTGCAGCCGCCTCACAGCCTGGCCTGGCCTAAATTTCCCGGGGATGTGAATGAAACACCAGAGCCAGCACCGCCCACTGCCCTGAGGGCCACCGCGTGAGGCACTGGAGGGTGCCCACCCAGCACCGCACAGCTCGGCCAAACCCGGCCTCTGCAGAGCAGTGACACCTCCAACCTCGCCCTGGCCCAGGAGGGGCCCTTCACGTTCGGGCTGCCGTCCCGCTCCCAGGCCCGCCCCAGTCCGCAGTTCCAGACTCTCCACACTGAACTTCCCGTCAAGCCGGGGCTGGATTCCTGCTCCTGGCTGCACCCAGGCTGAACACTTGCTAAGCCAGGACGACCCTGCCGGCCCTCAGGGCCTCAGCCTGGACAGAAACAGAGGACGTGGGTCCTCCCAGACACTCCTGTGGAAGGAGTGTCCGGGCCCCTGTGGAAGGAATCTGTCTGCAGACATGCTGGGCATCCCCCTGGGTCCTGCGTCTGTGCCCGCCCTGACCTGCCCGGGGTCTGAGAGCGGGCAGGGCTGGGGCTCCACGAGCCTTTCTCTGCTGGGGGCGGGCGGTGGTTGCCACTTGGCGATTCTGGCTGTCAGCGCACGTGGCCCCCCCCCACACAGACCTGTGTACCGCGGGTTCTGGGTGAGGCCGAGGCCCTAGGGCAGGTGAATGCTCTGTCCCTGCTGCCGCCACTGTCACTGTCGTGTCAGAAAACCATCACCTGCACCTGGTCTGCAGTCACAGACCTGTGTCTGCTGCCAGCCGGGTGGGACCCACGAGAGCCCACGAGGTTGTGACCTCACAGAGCCGAGAGTCCTGCCACAGGTGACTCGCACCTTCCATGGCCATGAAGTGACCACAAAAACACCTGCCCTCAGGTCTCACGGTGGCTGAGCGGCCCAGGCCCGCGTAACTCGGGTGGATACACCTGCACATCCTCAGCGATGGACAGTTAGCCTCGGATGCACAGCTGCTGCAGCTGGGCGGGCAGCTTCCACGGGCGGAGGCTACGCGGGTCTGCGCCAGGCGCCGGAGGCACCTCCCTCCAGCTCACTTCCTCCCTCCCTGCATTCACTCTCCGCTCCCACTGGGTTTTGGACAGCACAGAATTTGCATGCTGCAAGGCTCAGGGGTTTCAGGCTGTGACAAAGCAGCCATGGTAAGAAACCTTGGCTCAGGAGCTGCCGACCCTGCCAAGGGGCACCGCCTTGGGGAGAAGCCCAGGGAGTGCCCGGCCCCCTCCCGTCTCCCGCCTGCATCGCTGCAGGCTTGGAAAAGCTACGTTCACAGGTCCCAGCCTCGTCCCTTCCCGCACATGAGCGTGCGTCTGCCGGGCCACCATTCCTCTAACCGGGCCTCCACACGCCCAGGCTCCCACGAGCTCTGGCTCTGAGGCCACTCCTGACCTCATGCACAGCCTATGCTACCCGCGCTCGGGCTGGGGCCAAGGCCACGATGCGGCATGCTCTCCGGCGGACCCTCCCGGGGCAGCCAGCCGTGCGTCTCTGAAGGCCTCATCTTGGCCACGGCGCCCACGCACCTCTCGTTCCTGCTCGTTCTTAGACAGCTGCATCTGCTTCAGCATCTGCGACCTCTGCTCCATCATCAGCGTCCTCTCGTAGGTGAAGGCAGAAATGTCGTTCTCAACCTAGAAAGTTCCCGAGTAGACAGTAAGCCTGGCATGCACAGAATCACGGGGCGCCTCCACCACTGCCCCGGCTTCCAGAGGCTGAGCCGCCCTGAGCGGCGGGAGAGGCCAGGCATCCCGGGCCCTGCAGGCCCCCGCCCCGTGGCTGGGAAGGTGTGAGCTCACGATGGGCAGTGACACCGCACAGATGCTCCGCTCACATCCCTCCCAGGGACTCTCCAGCCAGGCACAGGAGCAGGCTCCAGGACAAGACCACAGCCAGAAACCAACCCGGTGCACGCGACTCTGGGTAAGGGATTGCCCCGTGGGGCCGCAGGGTCCACACTCACTGGTGTCACTATCTGTGCTCAGTAGGGCTAGTCACCACAGGAAACCCGCCCAGGACACACAGAAAAGCCACGGCACAACCTCAGTGCCCGCCATGCGGGACCCCCGGGTCTCACCCACTGCACCCAGCTCATGGAAATTTGGAGCCACTGTGCCCATTAAGCACAAGTGTTTAAAATGGCACAGCAGATCCAGTGCAGCGGCTCATGCCTGCCATCTCAACACTTTGGGAGGCCACGGCGGGCGGACCACTTGAGGTCAGAAGTACGAGACCAGCCTGGCCATCATGGTGAAACCCCGTCTCTACTAAAAAAAAAAAAAAAAACAAAAAAAATACACGAAAATAAATTAGCCCGCATGGTGACGCACACCTGTAGTCTCTCAGCTACTCGGGAGGCTGAGGCAGGAGAATTGCCTGAACCCAGGAGGCGGAGGTTGCAGCGAGCTGAGATGGCACCACTGCACTTCAGCCTGGGGGACAGAGTGAGACTCTGTCTCAAAAATTTAAAACAAAATAAAACAGCATGCCAGGCTGAACGGCAGCGGCCCGTGGGCTCCTTTCCAGCCAGGTGACACTTCTCCCTAGTGGCAGGGCCATGGAGAGGGGGAGCCCCAGCCCTGCCAGGAGACATGGCCAGGAGCGTGGGGGCACTGGGAGCTCCAGGTTCCCGGGCTTCAGCGCTAGTGACCCCTGCTCAGCAGCTGGCGAGCTGCCACTGGCACCACGGGTGTGCTGGGTGTGCTGGAGCCACAGACTCACGGTGCCCGCTTCCTCTGGCCCCCATGGCCGCCCCGCCTGGCCTCCGGGCAGGGCTGTTCTCCCAGGCAGGATTTTGTTACCATTTCACTAGCCGTGTTATGACCTGGAGATAACGTCATTCATACAACTACTAGAACCAATAATAACCCTACAGCCTTGAAACCGTAAAGCCTCGTCCAAACGAGAAGCTCCAGCCATCGTCCCCGAAGACATGGCCGTGTGGAACCGAAGCCCAGCGTAGAAAACCAGGGAGAAAAAGACCCAGCACAATGCATGCCCGCGCCCCTCGGACTAGGAAAGGTCCCACAGGGCAAGAGGAAGCGCAGCCACATAGGACAACCGCGCTCCACGGGAGCTGACGCAGAAACACAGAAGCAGCCGCACCGGGCCTCACTCACAGCCAGACAAACCAGGAGCAGGTGCTCGGGGCCTCCGCCATGCCCAGGGCTGAGGGGCCAGGGAGCCTGCACCGCCCAGGCTCTGCAGCGGCACGGCCAGCTTCCGGGGGACAGCGTGGCCGTCTCTGTCCAGCATTATTCTTCCCAGCATCCCCACCGCCACGAGTCCAGGCCACCGAGGGCCAGCAAAACCGTGCGCCGGGGTCACAGGAGCCACAAGAAACCGGGCCTTGGCAGAATCTGAGCTCACGGTGAGAGCTGTCGGGGTGACCCATGAGGTCAGAGCCCACAGAGTCCCGGGACCACCAGCAGGACTGGAGGGGAAGGCACAGCCGCGGACTGGGGTGGGCTGGCAGGAAGCAGGCACGGCTCTGCCCAGCACAAGCGGTCAACCCAACCCCCAGGCTCCAGAGCCCCAGGCGCTCCGACCGTCAACCCCGTCCTCCCCAGGTGTGAAGGGTGGGACAAGTCTCTGTCCAGGCCCTGCCTGCAGCTGACCCAAGGCCTGTCTGTCCTATGTGACGGCCGCACCCCGGCCTCACTGACCAGTGCCCTTCTCCCTGGTCCCAACTGCTGACGTGTGGTTTCCAGCTGTGGGACCATGAGCCTGTCTGGGGAGAGCACCCAAGACGGGAGGTGCGCAGAGGTGCACCCCACCATGGTGAACGCCACTGAGACGTGAGGTCCGGTACAGAACCCAGTCCTGGAAGGGGGCCCCGGCCAAGGAGGACACGGGACCACGGGGGACATGGAGGAGCCGACGCCTGTTCCAGGGCAGCACCCACACCCAGGCTACTCGAGATGTCAACAAGGAACGTGCGGGCTCTGTGCTTCCTGTGACGTCCTCACACTCCCAGAACCAAGCCACCTCCACCACCCCCCAAGGCCTGGCAGCCTGCCAATCACCACCACCTTCTCCTCCCCCCCCCCCCCCCCCCCCCCCCCCCCTCTGGAGGCCCCCCGCCCTCCCCACCTCCCCCTCCCTCTCCCCCTCCACCTCATGGGGCCCACAGCCCTCCCCACCTCGCCCTCCTCTCGAGGCCCACAGCCCTCCCTCTCATCCCCTGCCCTCAAGCCCGCAGGCCTCACCATCTCCACCACCTCCACCTCGGCGCTGATGCGCAGGTGGTACAGGAACATCTGCAGGTCTTTCTTCATCTGGATGCTGTTGTCGTCCACCTGGGCCACCGTGAAGATGCGCATCCGGCACTTCCTCCACACCTGGAGACGGAGCGGGCGTGGCTGCGGGGCCTGGGAGGAGCCCCCGCCTGCCCTGGCCCGAGGCGCGTCCCCGTCCCCGTGCCCACAGCGCACCCCACCTTGTGCTGGCGCAGCAGGAAGGGCAGCAGCATGAGCATGCCGCCGTCATGCACAATCCACCACACGTCGATGTGGCCCCCGCTGAAGCGCTCCTGGTTTTGCGGGAAAGCGTCGATGTTCTTGGCTACCAGCAAAGCCTGGTGCGCGGCGGTGGTGTCACGGACGGTGTCTGCGGAGAGAGGCAGCCACTGGCAGGTCATCTGAGGCCAGGGCGAGGGGGAGGCCTTGGGGGAACCATATGGCCTCCCCCGACTTTCCCAGCTGGTGCAGACGCCGTCAGGGTGAGGTGGGCAGGGTCCGCGCAGAGCCCCACCCTCCCTCCATCAGCTCCTCCAAAGCCCAGGCCTAGACCCACAGCAGAGCTGGCTGCTGGTCACTGCCCAGGACACCCCTGCCCCAGCGGGGCTCCAGGAGAATGGGAGGGAGGGCCTGGACACTTTCAGATGGCTGCTCCCAGGGCTAAGAGCATACACCCTCAGGCCCATCAGGACCTGACAGCACACAGGCCTGGGGCCGCTGAGGGGACCCCAAGGAGACGCCGGCCACACCTACCCACAAAGTTTTTCCAGGAGAAGGGGTTGTCCTCCTGCTTCCAGGACGCAGGCCAGGCCATGAGCACTGTGTTGTGCTTGAGACCCCCCAGGCCGGCCGACTGGATGAGGTGGGACATGCCGTCCCGCAGGCTGAACGAGACCACCAGCTGGCAGAAGCCCTTGGTCTTCTCCGCGCTCATCAGGGACCGGATGTTCTGTGGGACACAGGACAGGTCAGTGCCACGGCCTCCAAGAAGCAACAGGGCGTGCGGACCCACACCCACCACGCACGGTGGCAAGGGCACCCCCACCCCCACCGTGAGCCCAGCAGGAGGGAGGGCCTGAAGGCTCCACAGTGAGCCACGGCGCTCCGGGCTGCTGCACACGTGTCGTGTATCCACACACCAGAGAGAAAGAGCAGGTGTGCCTGATGCCACGTGCAGGTGATGCGGAGACTGCTCTGGGCACACAGCACCAGGCAGTTCTTTGGGGGATCCAAAGCGTCCCACCCACACCTCCCACTTTACTTGGATGCTCTGGGCCAGGCTGATACACCTGGTGAGTCAGAAACATCCGAGAATGGATCAAATTAGCAACTCTTCAAAGGGAGACCGTGGAGTTTAAGATGAAGCGTCGTATGAACAAGGGGCCAGGGGTCACTGGCATGTGCAGTCTCCTCCCAGGGGTGTCTGGGAGGCCACAGCATGGAGCGGCTGGACTCCATGGGGCCTTCGAGGATGAAAGCCAAGCGCATGTGGACACAGGCCTCCCGCCCCCAGTGACCTCAGGCCTTGGAACCGCAGCCCGCCCTGGTGGGTCTCAGCCTTGTGAGGTTCCAGAGGCCCCTTCCTGCCTGATTCTCCCTCTCAGAGCGAACGTGCCTCTCCCCAGAGGTCCCCTGCTGTGTTTTGCTATAAGTGGCTCCTCACAGACAGGGCACTTTTGTCCACGACGGACCAGACCCCACGTCACACTGCCTTCTGGTTTGGATGCTTAGAGGATGATTTGGGAGCTCGGAGCGGTGAGATTTATGTGAGACTTGGGACTCACTCGGGGTGGGTCTGTGCAGGGTTGAGACTTCAGGGGACGCTGGGCTGGGGTGAACATGCTGTATGCAAGGGGCAGGTAGGAATTTCTCGGCCCAGAGCACAATCACAGTGGGGTGCATGGTGGCCCCCAAAAAAGGACACCCACATCCCAGCCCCGGGAACCTCAGAATGCAACTGTATTTGGGAAAACTCTTTGTGGATGTATTTTAGAATCTTGTACTGAAGCTATGATCTTGAGAGCGTGTCCTGGGTCAGAGTGGGCCTGACGCCAACCACAAGTGGCCTTACAGGATGAAGGCAGGAGGAGCCTCGGACGGAGGAGAGGAGGCTGCATGGAGGCGGAGGCAGGGGCAGAGTGACCGACGCCCAGGGTCACCTGGGGCCCCAGGAGCTGGAGGAGGTGGGAGACTCCTCCCGGGAGATACAGAGGCAGCACGGCCCGCCGTCTCCTTCATTCAGACTTGTGGGCTCCAGAGCTGGAGAGCAGAGGCTCTTTGCTGTGAGCTGTGTGGTCCGTGTCCCGTACAGCAGCCCCAGACCACTCAGGGAGCAGAGCCACCGCCCTGCCTCCTTTGCTGAGATTCCAGCGGCCCCTACGTCGGCCTGGCTGGTGTCCTCACCCTGTGCTCCAGCTCACCCTGGGGCTCCACCAGCGCTTCACACACAGAAGAAAACAATAGCCGACGTTCTCCCACAGCCCCGCTCCTCCTCGGGCACCCCCGCCCTCACCCCACTCTCTAGACACCTCCACCTTCTGCCCAGCCACCAGGGGCCAGATGGGACAGGGTGCAGGGCTGGCAAACATGCTACTTTTGAGACTTTTGCTCAGGTCAGAAAAGGTGTGAACACGCTGCCCCAAAGGGGCACCAGCCAGTGAGCAGAGGCGGGGGCAGAGACCCCAGAGAAGTGGGGGCCAGAGAGGCAGAGACCCCAGAGAGGCGGGGGCCACAGAGAGGCAGAGACCCCAAAGAGACGGGGGCCACAGAGGCAGAGATCCCAGAGAGGCAGGGGCCACAGAGAGGCAGAGACCTTAGAGAGGCGGGCCCCAGAGAGGCAGAGATTGGCTGGAAGCAGAGGCTTCGGGGTGGACACAGCAAGCCTGGGCAGGAAGGCGCAGGGAAGCGCCCGTGTCAGGGGTCACATGGGAAGAAGGCAGGAAGCGCAGCTGTCTCAGCAAAGGCCACACAGCGGCCCCTTTATGTGGCCGCTGCTCATCCCCCTGAGACCCTCTGCAGGGCGATCCCAGCTCTCTGTTCCTACGCCCCCAACTGGCCAGAGACCAGGGCCCAGGGAAATGGCTATTGAGGATCAGCCGAGTTTGGACGCACCCACTCGAGGGGCCCTGAGGATCTCAAGGTGCTGGTGCCACACGATGGGGGCCACTTCCCACATGGCTGGTTGCTGTACTCCCCCCACATGCCGGCCCCGAGGAGTCAGAGCTGGTGATCTCCTATCCTCGGGCCTCTCTGCTGGGAAAAACACCTTGCAGGATTGCAGGGCTTCAGGAGGACGTGGCACTGCCCTGGCAAGAGCTCAGTGTTGTGCTGGGGGACCCTGTGACCACCAGTCCCCACATGAGCCAGGCACACCAGCCAGAGGACCTCCACGAAGACAGATCTCGGCCTGGAGGACAATGGGCCCTTTACGAGGCAGGGAGGCAAGGGTGTCAGCGGCTTCGGACCCTGTTCCACACCCCTCAGTGCCACACAGAACAGAGCAGGGAGGGCACGTGAGCCTCCCTGGCAACTGGATGGATGAGTCATGAAGCTGTGTGATTTTAGAGAAATTTCTACGCTTTTAAAAGCCTTGCCCGCGCCGGGTGCAGTGACTCGCTGACCAGTAATCCTAGCACTTTGGGAGACCGAAACAAGACGGATCACTTGAGCTCAGGAGTTCAAAACCAGCCTGACCAACGTGGCGAAACCCTGTCTCTACTAAAAGTACAAAAATTAGCCAGATGTGGTGGCGGGCACCTGTAGTCCCAGCTACTCAGGAGGCTGAGGCAGGAGAATCGCTTGGACCCAGTAAGCCGAGGCTGCAGTGAGCCGGGATCATGCCACTGCACTCCAGCCTGAGCGACAGAGCAAGACTCCGTTTCAAAAAACAAACAAAAATTTTAAAAATTAAAAATAAATTAATAAAAAAAGACTTGCCCAGATTTCTCTAATTTTACACTAACTTAGCCAGGATGGACGTGAGCACAGCTCCCCAGGGCAGGGCAGCCCCAGGGAAGGCGGGGCCTGCGGCTGCCTCCAGCCCTCAACAATGGAGCTGAGTCACAGCCAAAGGCTCCCTGAGAGCAGGGGGGGCAGCAAGGGCTCAGTCTCCCATCCTCGAGAGCAGGCTCCTGGCTGAGGCTGCCCCAGGCCCCGCAGCTGAAGGGCTCCGTGACGGAGATGACCTGTGAGCTGCGTTAGATGTGAATGGAGAGTGAGGGTGGCTTTTCCCATGGCAGTGATGACCGCGGCAGAGCATGGCAGAGGGTCCCGCCGTCTACTCAATACCTGCCCTGTCCCTCATATGCACAAACACGCCCTCACATGCCGCCAAGGACACCTGATGGTGCCAGGACTCTTAGAACCCACACCAACTCCGGGATTTCTCCTAAGAGGACCCCAGCATGGGATAAGATACACGGAAACGGACACATGGGTGCCAGGACTGCAAACATTCTCCTGAAAACCAAGATGCCTAAATCCACGGGTTCACAGTCAGTAGCAGCCAATGCCTGAACCCGTGGTGAGGCATGACGCCACCGTCAGGGAAAGAAAAGGCCCAGTGGATCTCCGGTCTTCCCTGGAGAAGCTAACCTGCGGAGCAGCCCAGAGAGAACCTGGCCATCCACGCGGCCTAAATTGCAGGAGGAGAGAGGCAGGCCACCATTTCCCACCTCTGTGGGATCCGGGCCCCAAGCCACTGCCATCTGACGCTGCTACCATCCCACATGCCCAGAGCCCCTCAAGTGGCACTCCCACCCCCAGGCTGAGCGGCCTGGATCTGAAGGACCTGAGTGTGCCTGTATCTGTGCAAATAGACAGCAGGGCCGGCCAAAGATGCCTGGACGCACCCACAGGCCCCGGGGGAGCCTGCAGCAGGGAGCTGGCTCCCAACCCCCACGGAGGACAGAGGGCACCTGCGAGGGGCGGACCTCGACTTCCACACACAAGGGGGAAGAGCAGCCGATGGTGGCACCGAGCAACCCCGTCCCTCCCCACAGAGATCTAGGTAGGCAGAACTTCGGCGGCACAGGGGCCTCACGGTCACGCGGCCCCCCGCGAGCTTTGACAGTGGAACCATGACTGTGGCTCTGGACCGGGCTCGACTCGCCCGTGTGGGGAGCAGGCAGTTCCAGGGTTCACCCCGGGAAAGCTAACGATACTCAGCACCTCCTCTCAAGCTTTCCGCGACGCCGCTGGCGCTCCTAGGCTTCAGTGCGCTGCCCGCCCTCCCGCCTCAGGTCTGGGCACCTGCTCACTGTGAGCTCAAGGCCACCGCCATGGCTGAGACACAACAGCCACAAGCCCACGTGGGAAAAGGGCTCGGGTCCAGCCTCCGCCCCGCCCACCGCTTCGCCCCGCCGTGACCACGCCCACCCTCAGCCCGCCCCGCCGCGACCACGCCCACCCATCAGCCAGCCCCGCCGCGACCACGCCCACCCATCAGCCCGTCCCGCCACGACCACGCCCACACCCTCAGCCAGCCCGCCGCGGCCACGCCCACCCATCAGCCCGCCCTGCCGCGACCACGCCCACCCCTCAGCCCGCCCCGCCGCGACCACGCCCACCCATCAGCCCGTCCCGCCACGACCACGCCCACACCCTCAGCCAGCCCGCCGCGACCACGCCCACCCGCAGCCCACCCACCGTGACCACGCCCGGCCGCGGCCACGCCCACCCCTTCAGCCCGCCCCACCCCACGGCGGTCACTCCCACCTCCTCCGCCTGCTCAGCCTCCAAGTGCTTGTCCAGGTATGTCCCCTCCAGCACCGAGCCCACAATGGTCAGGCCCTTGCCAGCCTTTAGCTGTGACGTGAAGGACAGCAGGCGAGGGTGCTTCACAGCCTGCTCGGCGTCCAGGTTCAGCATCACCAGCACCTGGGGCCTGCAGTGGGGGTGGGGCAGCTGTTACCACGGAGACTCACTGGCTCATGGCCCATCGACAGGCAGGGCAAGACAGGTAACACAGGCAGGACGGTTGACACAGGACAGGTGACAGGCAAGATGGGGGAAACAACAGGCGAGTCAGGTGGGATGGGTGACAGGACAGGTGACAGGTGGCACAGGTGAAACAGGACAGGTGACGCAGGCAGGACAGGGGAAACAGGCGAGACAGGTGGGATGGGGGAAACAGGGCAGGTGAGACAGGCAGGATGGGTGACAGGTGAGACAGGTGACAGAAGGGACAGGTGAGAGGTGGATGGGTGACAGGTGACACAGGTGACAGAAGGAACAGGTGAGACAAGCGGGACGGGGAGAGATGTGACACAGACAGGATAAGCTGAACAGGTGACAGGTGGGACAGGCAGGGCAGATGGGGCAGGTGGCACCAGCCAGGCAGGACAGGTGAACAGGTAGGTTAGGCAGGTGGGACAGGTGACAGGCTAGGCAGGTCAGACAATGGCCCCAGGCACTGTTGAGACCCTGAGAGATTGCCCCTGCGGGGCAGAACCTGGCAGACGCTTCCCACAGATGGCCCTGATTCCGCAGCAGCCACTCCACCCACCCCAAGCCGCAGGGCTGTGCCAGCAGACGGGCTGGCTCCCCATGCCCCCACCCACAGCGGGACAGACCCGCTGCTCCAATGCCCCCAGCTGTGCAATTTGCTCTGCACTGGGCAGTGTTCACACTCCAGACCTTGACCGCGCGGCTGAAGGCGAGAGGCCGGAGACTCAAAGGTCCCCACTCAAAGGCCGACCTCAGACACGGCTCCCCTGTGCCTGTGAGGGGCACGGGCCAACGGTGGTGCTCACCTCCAGTTCTTGGTGTGGGGGGGACCATGCTCCACGCGCAGTAGCGCATAGCGGGCAGCATTCAGGGACAGGCCGCGGATGCCATCACCCCACTCCTTCTCAGCCCTGTGGGAAAGAAGTGGGGGCTTGTCCAGCCACACGCCTGGGAAAGAGGGGACTTCTGAGGGCAGGGGAGTCAGGGGAACACAGCGCCCCGTGGAAAAAGCCCCTGGATGAGGAGGGAGGCCTCCGTGCCCACCCCTGCCCTCAAGCAAGCCTGTCCCAGGAGCCACCGGGTCAAAGAGGACACCATGGCTTTGGAGGGAAGCAGGTCTACTGCAGACCGGCATGTGAGGTGTCTTCCTTGCAGGGTGGGGGGCAGGAGGCCATGACAGGGAAGTGGCTGGACCCTGGGAATGAGGCAGGTGCAGGTGGAGGGAGGGCGGGCGCCAGGGCACAAGGAAGGGTGCCCGTGGCTGCCGAGTGGGTACAGACACAACCTGGGGACACTAAGAGAGACCCGTGGCGGGAATAGTCAGCCGCGGGCTCACCGCCTGCTGAGGACAGCACGAGACAGCGCTCCAGGCCAGAGACCCCTCGCCCTGGCTAGAGGCAGGAGGGAGACCTGGGCTTTCACAGCACAGCCCACCTGGATATGCCCCCGGCTGCCCCCAGGAGGGCACACGACGTTCGGACCCCAGGGAGTACCGTCCACAGAACTGCCTGGGCGTAGTGTGGAGGGTCGGCGAGGGGCTGGCGGCACTTACCCACGGTACTCAATGTACTTGTAGATGCAGCTGGCGATGAGCATGGCGGAGAGCGCGTAGTACCAGGAACAGATGAACATCAGCGCCAGGCACAGGCTCATGCCCAGGAAGGACAGGGTCCTGGGGGGCAGGCGGTTCAAGGGAGCCCGACGCCACTCAGCGCCCACACCCCAGCCACTGCCACACAGACTCTGCCCCTCCCTCAGTAAAACGCTCCCTCCGTCAGCACAAGGAACATAGTCGCTGACGCCTGACGGCCAGGCCTGCACCCAGCCACCTCGGAGGGTGACTCAGCTCTCTGGGCCCCTACAGGAGCTGCCGCTGCAGGACGTGGTGGACGCTGCTCCCACTCCCAGCGTGCACGCAGCACCTGGGCTGTGCAGGCAACGCCATGGCTCCGGTCACCCAGCGCCTGGTTCCCGGGGAGGGGATTAAGGAGCCCCACGGCCCTGACGGGCTACACCCCGTGCCTGGGAGGACCTGGCTGACCACAGCCGGTACAAGACGCACATGGACACCTGGGCATCCAGGTAACCAAAGGCCTTTGTCAGGTGCAGAGGGAGAGAGACCGCAGTCCCATCGGCTGCACAGGGGTTCGCCCCGCAAAGGAACAGTCAAGGACCCGCCTGGGGTCTTCGGGCCCAGGGCAGCTGGCCTTGCAGGGGCACCAAAGGTCCCAGCCTGTGGGGTCGCCGATACCCGTGGCTGAGCAGCCTCACCAGTGGTAGTACTTGAAGCGGGGACGCCAGTTGGGGGTGCGCAGCAGCGTCTGCACGGCGCAGGCCAGGTTCACAAACAGGTAGCACATGAGGAAGAACCTGCAGGGGCGGCCGGCTGCTGACTCAGGTGGGGCCCCGAGCCCCCATCACGGCCGCCTGGGAGACCACCGTTGTCGTCACCGTCCCTCCCACCTGCACCCACCCTGGCCCCCCATGGCTGTCTCTGCACATGAGCTGGTTCAGACACCCACATGGCTCTTTCCAGCGACACCGTTGCCAGCTAACCCAGCAGGTGCCCCCCTGGAGGTGTGCACCTGCCTTCCCTGGCTTTGAGCTCCCTTCCTGGCTGGATCCGGACTGCCCACGGCCGGCCCTGCCTGTTCACTGCTTGTCCTGAGCAGGGCTTCCTGGCCATACTGCACCACGCTCCAGGCCTGTACACCCATCCCCAGGTCCCTGTCCTGCGGGGACTCACATGGAGAGGATTGGGGCCACGCTGTCCAGGGAGGCGATGAGGATGCCAGTCTCGCAGATGAGGACCGTCAGCAGCAGCGCCCACGTGGGCTCCCCGTTGGCCTTCCCATGGCCAAACACCTGTCGGGAGAAGCGCAGGAAGATGGGGTGGATGGGGCAGGAAACACCCTCCCTTTTTAGGAGAAAAGACGCAGGCTGGTCGGATCCAGCCCACGTGAGTCTTAAAGACACATACCAGCAGAAACACCTTTCACAAGAGGTCCTGGGACATCACCCAGCCGGCCTGAGAAGAAGCCCTAACAAAGGATGTGTCTACATCTGGCTGTGCTTGCAGCCTGTGTGGCCCAGGCCGCCCCCACCTGCCTCAGTTTCCCCAACCACCGAGCCCTAGGCCCAGCTGGGACTGACGAGATGCAACCACAAAGAAATGTTCTAGCACTTTCCAAACAAACAGCTGACACCCTGTGGGTTGGCACCCTGCAGAGGTCACAGGCCAGCAGCAGGTGGGGATGGTCTTCAATCTGTAACTTTTCCTACGGTGGGGACAGCTCTGCCATCCACAACATTCCCTGAGGAAGTCACGGGCCAGCGACAGGCAGGGACGACGGCTTTGCCATCCACAATCTTCCCACAGTTGTCCTGGGCCCGAGTGGCAGGAGAAGCCACAGTCAGCAGCTCTGGACACACGGACAAGACCCACACAGGCGTCCCTCCAACCCTCAGAACAGTCACACGCTGGGCCAAAGGCTGGTGACCCCGCCTCCCAGGAGCTGAAGAGCTCAGCCACACAGAGCAAGGGGGAGGCAGCAGGGGCCTCGGGCCAGACAGCAGATCAGGCACCTCCAGACTCCAGGCTATGGCGCCTCATAGCCACCCCCAACACCCCTGGGGCTGCACTCAGAGGGAGCTGCAGGTGGGATGGCTGGAGCTGCCTCTGCCCACTGCCCACCTCCCGCCACCCACCACCCACCACCCACCACCCACCATCCACATCCACTGCCCACCACCCACACCCACTGCCCACCACCCACCACTCACCACCTGAGCCCGCTGCTCACTGCTCGCCCCTTACCATCCGTCACCCACCACCTGCTGCCCACCCCTCACAGCCTGCCACCCACCACCCACATGGTCAGCACAGCAGCCAAGGGAAAAACGACCACCATGAGCTCCAAGCTGCAGGCATGCGTCCCACACACGGTACTGTGAGGGTCCCACAGGGGAACAGAGCCCCCGATCTTCAGAGCACACTTCCCCCGGTGCGCGGGGCTCACCTGCAGGAAGGGGATGATGCCATCGCGGGCAATGGCTTGCAGCAGGCGCGGTGCCCCCGTGAGGCTCTGCAAGCCAGCCCCGCAGGTGGAGAAGAAGGAGCCGATGACGATGACCCAGGGCGAGGGCCAGGCCAGCATGCCGATGACCAGGTTCCCCTGCAGGGCCTCCCCGAACCTGCGGGTGGGCGGGCGGGAGGCTTTCAGAAATGAGCTGAAGTCAGACAAAATGTCTTCCCCACCCAGAGAACGAGGTCCAGCATGGAGGGGGTGACTCCTTGGAAAGCTGAGGCCCGGCCTCCAGCCCCCATTGGCAGACACCCCCTCCAGGCTCTGCCCAGCGTGGCCAGAATGCCCTGGAGTCTTCAGCGGGGGGGGGGGGGGGACCCAGCCCCCCTTGGGGTCGATCTCGGGAGCAGGGAAGACCCAGCCTGGCATCGGCTTCAGTCAGGGACCACGTAGGACCTCCGGGGCCTTGGGGCTGCCAGACAGCACACCCCACAACGATGCAGGCTCAGCGAGGACCTGCCTGGGGACCCCACTACTTCTCCACTTGGCAGCCGGGCTGGGGGGGGTCTCCCAGGGCCAAGCCTCACCCGTCCATACCCCTGTGGCCTCCCCAGGAAGGGCCTGTGCCCCCAGCTGCATCAGTAGAGTTTGCTCTAAGGGTTCCCCAGTCCGTGGCTCCAGTGGCAGAGACGACACGTTAGCGCCTCAGACAGACGGAGGGAGCCCGACCCTGGGACCAGGACGGCTTCGGGTCTGTACATGGATGTGATTTCAAAGCCAAAATCGTCCTCGGGAAAAACCACGAAGACTACAGGCTCTGCAGGGACACCGCAGAGGAAAACCTACTTATCTCGCAGGATCACGCCTTCGATGCAGGCCCCAAAAAGCACGATGCAGGAGAGATCTGCGGCTCTCGTCAAGGAAGGAAGGGTCCTCGGGTGCGGGGTCCTCAGTACAGGAAACACAGTCAGCCAAGGGCCTCAGTGGGGCATGGGGGTGGGGAGCCGCGCTGGCCGGCGGGCCCCAGGCTCCAGGTCAGGGGGACCACCCTGCACCCCAACCTAGGCACAGCCTGTCCCCGTCCTCAGTGCACCCTCCTGGGCTCTGTCCAGTGTCACAGAACAGGACCCTGGGGTGGTGGAGACACACCTGGCCTGCACTTGACCGTGGGCAGGGGACCTTGCTGAGGGAACAAAGCCCGACTGGAAGGAGGCGGCCTCGGGATTGAGGAGCCAGAGGCCCCGCGGGCCCAGCCTGCCGGCAGCACACACCACGCCACAGCTGGGCATCACTGTGGCACACGCACCAGAGGGACTGCTTCTGTTTTATATACGATCCTATCCCACGGTGACGAAGAAGCCGGGGTGCTGACGGCAGCCCCAGCCCCATTTCTCAGGAAGGATGACGTTGTCAGAGCCCAGCCTAACCCGGGGAAGTCACGCGCCGGTGGCTAAGGATGCAGCGCTGAGCCGGGAGGGCATGGGGGCCTCTCCCCAGGCGGAGGCCAGAACCCGTGTCTCCCTCACCTGCACCCCTCCAAGGATACAGATGAAAGACGTGGTCACTATGGCCAGGATGGTCCCCGTGGGGATGGACTTCTGTGCATCCTTGAGGTCTCCGGACCGGTTGGAACCCGCCATGATACCTGCGGACACGGAAAACGCTGCCAGGACCCACCTGAGGAGTCAGCAGCACGTGACGGCAGCCCCGGCCCCGAGAGCCAGTCAGGCGGTCTCCGGGGAGACCCCGAGGGTGAGCCGTGCCCAGGACTGCAATCCAAGCCCTGCCAGCCGCCGCTGAAGGACTGCGGCTGGGGGACGCAGGCCAAGGCACGCGGACGAGCCCCACGTTTACTGCTGCCCCTGCATGGAGTCACAGATAAACCAGATGATTCCTCGATCCCAAGACAAGGCCCAGCCCTGACACTGACCCCCGCGGCCCCGACACCCAGGGATCCTCTGGGGCCTGTGTCGATTCCACGGCCAAGGGTCAGCCCAGGACGGTGCTGAGCAGACTCACAGGCCCTCCCGGACCCAAGACTTTTTGAAAGCAACCCTAGGACAGATCAGAGCTGGGCCAGCCAGGCCGATGGACATCGTGGACCCTCCTGCTGCAGCTCTGTGTGGACATCACCTCGCTCTAGGGAGCCCTGGCCAGGTGCAGTTCTTCTGTACAGTCGGCTCCCACAGAGCTCAGGGAAGCTGGATCAGAGGGGGCCGTTGACACCTGGCTCAGTCACACCTAAGGTGTGACCTGAAGCACCCGTGCTCGGGGTGGCCCCGGAGGCGCAGAGCACATAGCCCCAGTGCCCCAGACCACAGACCACAGACCTGGAGCCACACAGAGGCCCTGCCCCCATTCCCTCCACCCACAGTGCTGACCACAAGCAGACAGGGGAGGCTGGAGCCAAGGCACGAGGAAAGGACCCTGGGCCGATCGCCCCCTCCCTAGCAAGACAGGCCCACCTTCAGGGGAGGTGAGGGAAAGGAGACACCAGCCATGGCCAGGGCCTGCAGCTGACCCTGGGCTCCAGAGCTTTGGGATGCGCTGAGATAAAGTCTAGGAGGAGATGTGGGAGGGACCGGAAGGGCAGCTGCAGGCCACACGGGCAGCCGGCAGGGTCAGGGAGTCCCGATAGGAAGGCCAAGTGCAGGCAGCGGGGGGCCTGTGTGTGCCTGTGAGCCTGGGAGTGCAAGGGCCTGGCATGAACCAAGGCCCCATCCCCCTCAGGAACAAGGCCACTGTTTGATGAGGACACAGGGGGCCAAGGTCCCCGGCCTCTGACCTCACTGAGGCCACTCCTGGGCGTCTCCTAACAGTGTGCCAGGCATTGTCACCAACCCTAGAACAGCTTCTCCCAGCACAGGCCTCCCCGGGACAGAGCAGACAGCATTCTCACAAATCAACCAGGACATAGGGCAGAGGCCTCAGCCGCTCCCCCAAGCCAAACAGGCAAGAAAAGCAGAGGCCAGAAGGCGCGTGGGAGAGGAGAGAGGAGAGAGAAATGGGGGGGAAGAGGGGGAGAGAATGACAGAGACAGAGAGATGGACAGAGAGAGTCAGAGAAAGAGAAAGACGGAGAGAAGCCGGGCAAGGTGGCTCAAGACACCTGCATCCCAGGACTTTGGGAGGCCAAGGATCGCCTGAGCTCAGGAGTGAGACCAGCCAGAGCACGAAGGGAGACCCCCCGACCAAAAATACAGACATTAGCCGGGCATGGCGTCATGCTTGGGAGACTCAGGTGGGAGGGTTGTTTGTGTCTAGGAGGTCGAGGCTGCAGTGAGCCGTGATCCAGCCTGGGTAACAGAACGAGATCTTGTCTCAAAAACAGAGAGAGAGAGGAGACAGTGGGCGCGGCGGGCTCACCGGTCACGGAGGGGAAGTAGATGCCGACCAGCAGGGTGAAGGAGGCTGCGATGTCCGTGAGCACGTAGGGCAGGGTGCCAGCGCGGCTCTCCTCTGCCACGGGCACCGAGGGCACACCTTCCTTCTCCACAAACGCCCCCGCCTGTGCATACGCACTCCACAGGTTCTCTGCCGGGCAAGGAAGATCCATGGGTTTCTGGCACCTTCCAGGGCTGCCACCTTGGGGCCACCCACTCCCTGGCAGGTGCCACGGGTGGCTGAAGGGAAGGCTCAGAGCTCGCACCCTCCAAGCAGGCTCCAAGTCAAACGAGGACCCCAGTGTTTGAGACGGTGCCTCTGGGAAAGCTACCCGAATCTATGGAGGGACGTCAGCACTAAAGGGAAGCCTCACGTGCAGAACACCTCATTCCCAGAAAGCCCAGGCTTCCTGTCTCGGGTTCCGGAGCAGGTCCCATGGACCCTGCCAGAGGTCCTTTTCCCTAAACCCATGGGGCAGGTCCAAGGCAGCCTCCTCATCAGGGAAGACGCAGAGGGGGCGTCACCGCTCATCACCACTCCCTTATTAACAAGGCAAGCTCCCCACACGCTGCCAGGGGCCATGAAAATCATCCATGGCTTTAAGGGCAGCTTGCTGGCCATGACGGAGGCCGCCTCCCCGACACACCCTGTTTGACTTCTATGCCCGCAAGGGGTGTACACAGGACCCCGAGGCTCATCAGCAGCAGCTGAGGAGGCGCTTGGCTAGGAGGAGGAACTGGGGCCCTGGGAGTGACCCTAAGGCAATAGCACCCACCACGGCCAGTGCCCACTGTCCCCGCTGCCCCCCCAGCCCCCCCAATCCCCCCAGTCCCCACTGCCGCCCTGTGGGCCTCACCCAGGAAGACGCCGCTGGCCGCACCGGGGATGCCCTGGATTTCAGTGATGTTGTTCTGGGTGAAGTACTCATCACAGGTGGCACTGGTCTGGGAGCCGTTGCAGAAGAGGCCCCAGAGGGCAGAGGTGGCCGAGCTGTTCTGGACGAGGCGGGCCTTGATGCAGACATCGAAGCCACGCCGTGACAGCGTGCGGTTCCCCAGGAGGCAGACCCTGGGGCAGACAGTGAGGCACGGCAGCGCTGCTGCCAAGGTGGCTCGCACTGCCTCATCCAGATCCCCCTCCGGGCGTCCACGGCATTGCCCACGAGCGGCTCCTGGCACCCTGCCCCTCCCAAGACAGGAATGGCCACAGATCACGCCGGACACCGGGGCCAGAGCCAGGCTGCAGCAGGAACGCCACATGGTGCAGCCGTCCCCGGCATCCAGGGCTCGGCCAACCACAAGGTCCAAACGCGCTAAATGAAACGTTCTAGATGCAAGCAATTCACACGGTTTCCACCACGCGGGTCTGAGTAGTCAGGTGGAACCAGGAGAAACCCCCCCCACCCACAGCCACGCTGCCATCGCTCCCCGTCTGATGCTCTCTGGCCCACTGTCCAACCTCACTGCTTGTGTTCAAGCCACCTTGTACCACTTCCCCATGGTCCGGAGCGCCGGGGCATTGCGCCCGACCCATAAACCAGGCCTGCATGTAGAAAACAGTCTACACGGGGCCGGTGCAACCGCAGCTTCAGGCATCGGTGGGGGGTCACGGGAGGCTCAGAACGGGTCCCGGAGAAGAAGGGCAGCTCCACGTCCCTGAACAGGCTCGTGGGGTTGAGGCCGTTCTGCCTCCCTCTGTTTTGAGGTCTCTATGAGGCTGTTCCGCAGGGGCTCCCTCCACGCAGAGATGGCAAAACCCAGGATCCTCGAGGGGCTTGGCTGCCCAGACCCTCCGGGACCTGCTCCCTGGGGCCTCTGGTGGCCAATCCGATGTTCCAGGACCCGGGGCCACCTCCCAGCCCCCTAGCTCCTCCTCCAAGAGGACGAGAAAAGAGCCCCTCCAGCGCCTCTGGGAGAGAGAAGGGAGCCAGGCCCAGGCAGTGGCTGGGGTCACCCCATGACGACCAGGGCCGCCTGACCGTGCTGAGGGCCGCCGGCCACCCCTGAAACCTGCCAGGCCCCTCGCCCACCCACCTGCCACTTAGGAGCGTCTTCGAGCTCAGACCCAGCCACAAGGGTGCCTCAGCTCAACACACGGTTGGGTTTCCCATACTCCCCAGAACGAGCCCACGGGGGTTCCTGCCGAGGTCACGCCCAGTCTAGCCCGTCTCGGGGAGCTCGGCGTCAGGGAAGACGGATGAGAGGCGGGCAAAGCCCATGGGACCTGGCCCCAGCCCCACACATCACACACAGCTCAGAGGGCCCCAGACTCACGGGATGTCCGGGGGGTCGAAGGCGGACTTGATGACGCCAGCGTAGATGGCCAGAATGGACAGCACCACGCAGGCCAGGAAGACCAGCGCCAGCTTGTTGACATACTTGACGCCCACGAAGACCACCAGGGCCATGAGCACCAGCGTGCACGTGCCGTACACCCGCATGTTGTGCAGCATGGCGGCCGCCTCGCCACCCACGGCCTCCGCCTGGAAGATGGTCGCGCCCGGAGAGATGTATGTCTGCGGGGACAAGGCGGGTCGGGAGGCCGTCCCCGGCCATAGCACCCCAACACCCCGCCCTCCTGGAAGCCCCCAGCACCACACAGGGGCCTACTCCCAACAGGCGCTGGGGCCGTGGGGACGCATCCCTGCCAGGTGGAGCCCGCAGGGGTCAGCGCATGAGCAATGGATGACCAGGGCCTGTATGATTCCCAGGAGCCACCCAGGCGCCCTCCCGTAAAGCAGCTTCAGGACCCGGGGCGTCAGAACATCCACACTCCCAAGAAACATCTTCTGCTGAGAGGAACGTGACTGTTGCCCAGGGAGCGTGGCCCGCCCGGCTGGATGTCCTGGACAAACACGGGGTCTGACCATGCCGGCTGTGGATGGCCTGTGTCCTGCCTGGACTCACGGCACAGAGATGTGGGACAGTGCTACTCAGCTCCCTCCAGACCAGGACAGGACTAGGGTGCAGCAGGCGTGGGGGGTGCGGTAGGCGTGGGGGGCACGGCACCCACGCCCACCAGCCGGGATCCTGTGAGTGCGGCAGCAATGGTGTCTTGGCAGCCATGGCGCCCGGGGCAGGTGGAAAGACCGAGGGAGAGGGCCAGGGGACTCGGTGGGACGGGTGTGGACGCGACCCCACTGAAAGGTTTCAGAAACTTCTCGGGCCATGTGGCTGCCTCCATGAGCCCAGGAGGCTGGGAACCGGGTTTGGCAGGGGAGGGGGTCGGTAGAAAGACTGGGGACAGGGGCTCAGGTGGGCGTCCCGAGGCCCTGCAGGCATGGCAGGTTTCAGAACCTCAGCAGAAGGACAGCGCCTGTCGCATGGGGCCGAGAAGGGGGGTCCCTGTCCCCACGAGGGCCAAGGAACTCGTGCCACAGCCTGCACTTTGAGCCTGCTGTGGAAGGCGATGACATCCCCTGGTCGCACGTTGCTGGGCTCCGTGACCCTCGGCCAAGTGCCCAAATCAATCCGGCAGGGAAGAGGCTGGGACCCTGGTGAGGGGTTCTGCTAAGCTGAGTTCCAGCCCTATCCCTAAAACAGCTCAGACTCGCACCCACGCCGGGCTCAGATCTACAGCCCAGATGTCTGCCCAGCTCATGCCAGGCACCCGTCATGGAGGGCACCAATGGTGGCCAAGGGGGACACAGGTCGCTGCTGAGTGGATGCGCCCGACGGCTTCCACCATGGCCAGAGCCCAGGAGAGTCTGCAGGGCGGCCAGGGCAGCGGGGTCAGGATGGCTCAGGGTGCTGTGGGCGCCACCACAAGACAAGCTGGGAGGGCCCCTGTCACCCTGCCGCAGATTGTCGGGGGATCCCTTCCAAAGCAGCACACTTACCAGAAAAATCTCAATGGTCCCCAAAATATACATGGCCCCGGCGAACGTGGTGCCCAGGTAGAAGCAGAGGCCGACGGCGCCTCCGAACTCGGGTCCCAGCGAGCGCGATATCATGTAGTAGGAGCCGCCAGCTGCAGAGACAAGGCGGCGGGCGTGGGTCGGGTCCACGTGGGTCGGATCCATGCTGCCGTTCATGGGTGGAGAGCCTGTCTCTGCGAAGGCAGCGTGCAGGCTCTCGCACACCCACAAAGCAGCACATGAAGACGTGTGGCCTCCGTGGTAAACTCTCCCCACGTGAGGCTCAGCACATGCTCCATGCCCGCCACGCTCTTGTGGACATGAGGACCACATTGAGCACCATACGAGGTCAGGGCTAAGGCTCCCTGGGGAGGAGGCGGCCCCAGCAGCTCCTGGGAAAAGGCCTGTGTATGTCAATGTCAGCCCGGCCCCACTTCCACTAAGTGCTGTTTACAGAAAAGGCAGAAGGGAGACCAGGACATTCAGGAGTCGTCTGGTGTACCGTGACTCATGCACGCCATCACTGATGGAAAAGCCGGGCGCGACCCCAGACAGCGCGGCTCTCCCTGCTCTGAGCAGCGGGTGCGGACATGTGGAAGGGGCGCTAATGGATGCGGTCATCATGAGGCAGAGACTGGTCCCCTGGCTGCTGAAGGAGACCCCCGTGATGGCTCTCATGCACTCCTGGGGCCGGCGAAGGCCACCGTGTACCACGCAATGCCCCGTGGGGATAGGACGGCTGTGTGAGGACCTGGTGCTGAGGAAGCCTGGTCCTTAACATGCACGGGACGCGTGGACTCGGGAGCAGACGCGGCATCATCTCAGTTCGCTAATGATCACGTATTGCAATTGATCTATTATTAATGAACAAGGTCAGGGACAGTGTTTTGTCTTCACCTTCCCTTGTGAGGCAAAGGTTCCAGGAACTCAGCCTGTGGCACACACCAGGATCCCAGCGCCGCTGGGCTCGCCCTTGTCTCCCCTTCCCCAGCCTACTGCCCCATGGGCACTGCCTACCAAGAGATGGTCACCACGAAGCAAAACAGGGAAGAAAACCAAACAGCCATGAACCCATGGCTCAAACGGCAGAGGAGCCGGTGGAGAACACGCAGAAGGCCCGGCCGAGACCCCCAGGCAGCCCCAGCCAGGCCTTGGCGAGCGGCCTCCTCCTAGGTACCACGCGGTAGAACACAGACTCCTCTAACAGGACACCCCTTACCTGGGACCACACCGTTGGTGGCGATGGCACTCATGGAAATGGCTGTCAGCATTGTCTGCAAAACGACAGGCGGCCATCTGAGGAGGATTCCCAGGAGCCTGCCGGCATCGATACTCCCGAAGGAGGGCCCATGCCCGGGCTCCCGGCGGAAGCCAGCCCCCCACCCCAGGGCTCTCGATCTCAAGAGAATGGCTGGGAAACCAGGAATCCAAGACTCCCGGGCGCCAGCATGCTGTGTCCTGGTTCCCACCCCTTTCCCTGACCTCTGAAAGTGCCCAAAGTCCTTTCACACTGTAAGTGACCTTATCAAAACACAGGACGTCCATCCCCTGGAAGCCTCAGCCCCCAGTGCTGCGACGGGACACCCACCACCGGCCGAGAGGCCCTTCCGCAGACTCGGAAATGAGGTACCAGTGCGCTGCTCAACACGGCAGTGCCAACCCGGCCGGGGTGGCGTCTCGTTCCCACAGCTGCCCCGGCTCTTGTGGAGGACACGGGAAATCTACCTGGGTGTCTAGGGAGGACTCTACTGTCCGGCTGCCACCACCGGAAGGAATAGCCACCCCCGGCCAGGGGACACTCACGCAGGTGCAGCACATGGCCACGATGAGGAAGGACTCCAGGACGCCGGCCACCCCCACAATCCACGTCAGGCGCAGGAAGAGGATGACGCCCAGGATGTTCTGCAGGCACGGCAGGTAGACGCCGATGAAGGTACCCATGCGCGGAGCCTGCAGCAGAGCGGAGCACAGCGTGTCCCGGGGACTCCACCCCCACCACAAGGAGCCCCCTCCCAGGCTGCACTCAGGCCCTGGGCAGGCAAAGCAACATAGGAGCAGGAGGGAGGGGTCAGTGGAGGACGGGGGGGTCAGGAGCCTGTCCCAGAACAGATGGACGCTCAGAGAGGCCCGGGCAGGACCCCCAACCATCCAGGAGGAGGGGCTCGGGAGAGGGAAGCAGAACCACATGGCTGGCAGAGAACCGAGATGCAGCTGCTCCGCTGTGCCTCCCACGGAGAGAGGCTGTTACGCTGGAAACGTTATGGGGAAACGAGAGCAAGAGGGCCCCGGTTCCATCCCCTGGACGGCTCAGGGGCTCAGACTGGCACGGGAGAGCCCAGGCACAGACGCAGAGCCAGACAGGGATGAGGCAGCTGCTGCCCATAAAGCTAACAAGAAGCCACAGCTCAGCATCCACCCTGGGCACACACTGACAACCTAGTACGGAGGTCACCGTGAGGTGGCAGCAGAGGTTCAGATACCTGCCCAGCGGGCCACGCCGCCCGCCCACCCCAGCACGGAGCAGGTAGCCGCCTGACTTCAGACACCTGTGCCAGAGACAGACACACACACCTCGTGGCCCTGAAGAAACCCGTGGGGGCGGAAAGTCACGGCACTGCCAGGAGCAGGCCAGCGCCTGCCGGGCGGTCCCCCTCCCCTGCTCGGGACGGACCAGGCTGGGGCAGAAGTTCAGCTCCGTCCCCACCGCCCGCTCGGCCCCACTCCCGCCATGAGCAGAGGCATGCGGTGCGGAGCTGGAGGGCGGCTGGCACCAGCACAAGGTGATGTTTGAACAGGAAAACGTCTCAAGGTTAGGTCAACACGGAAAAGGGGGAAGGTTTTCTTTGAAGACATTTCCTGTGAACAATGGTCACAGCGCAGATCAGAACAGGCCCCCTGCAGAGGCTGAGGAGAGGGTTCGATCCTGGGGTCTGCACGGCCCAGCCCTGGGGAGGGGGCAGCCACTGGAGAGAGGCTGGATGGGGGCAGGGGACGGGGCGAAGGGCAGCTCCCAGGGAGAACACACTCAGCGCCACACCACAAAAGCAAACAGGGTGGCTTCCGGGGTCACTGCAGGAACGCCTCCCACAGACAGGCCGCGGCCAGGGCCGGGCAGGAATCTGGGGTCCACTGGCTCTGGACCCGGGGGAAAAGCATTTCTAAGGAAGCAGCCGGGAAACAGCGAGAAGCTGTACACCTGAGAGGCTGGCACATTCACTGGGTTCCCTGAGCCCTGGGAGGGGAGCAACAGGGCAGCAACGGGGCCTGGGGAGGGGCCGAGAGGGTGACGGGCCGGGGTCGCTGCTGGGCCCTCTGCCACCCACTAAATCTGCGCCTTGTTCTTGGTGCGAACAAGAGAGAAGTGGCAGGAGAGGGGGCAGGAAGGTGGTGGAGAAGCGGCTTTGGGGCATTTTCGTTGGATAAAACTGAACGCTGAGGGCAGGGGTGACGGCAAGGCTTGCGGGACACGCACTGGTGTGACTTCATGACCAGGCTTCAGCCAACACAGGAGACGACGGGCGGAGGGCCAGGCAGAGCCGGGCACACACAGCGGCCTTGCCCACAGGGCTGAGCCTCAGATTCCCACAGCCCCGTGACCGGCAAGTCAGAAGCTGGTTCTCCGCCAAAGGCCGGGGTCCTGAGTCCCCAAGAAAGGGCATGGCCGGCCTTCGCCTCTCAGTTCCCGCCTAAAAGGCAACTTTTAGGGCTCAACCCGATCCAATTTCAGGTTCAGGAAGCTGGAGATGCCTGGGTCCTTGAAAAGGCTACTTCATGGGAGCAGCTCTGCTGGGGACGAGCCTCTGAGCCTGGCCAGAGAGGACAGCGAGGGGCAGCCCTGCCCTCCAAACCTCGGGCTGAACAACAGTCCTCTCAGGGAGGCGGTGCATTCACTGCAACCGAAACCTGCCACCGCCACACCACAGGCCTGCTGGGGTCACAGACCCTGCTCCTGCCACAACTCAACGGCTGCATCAGCCTGCAGCGCCCGAGGGTCAGAGGCCTGAGAGCCACCGGCCTGGGGAGGGGTTGCCGGGGAGGGCCAGGAGAACCTTCCAGGTGGGAGCCTCCTGGGCCCTGGTCCACGGCATGCCAGGAACAAATGCACCTGCCTGGATGTTTTGTGCACAGTGGCAAGGAGGGTGAGAGAACCTCAGTGTGCTCTCTGTGGGTGTCTCCAAGATGGGCACGGCAGGCTGGGCTGTGCCAGGCTGAGGGGTTGGGGCTGGGTGGCCAAGCCAGTGGTGCCGGGGCCCAGCCGAGCCGGAGGGGAAGCCGGTTCCCGGAGCCCTTGGACCAGGCCTGTGGGAAGGCCCTGCTACCTGGAGAATGCTGGCATCTCCCTGCGACACAAACTCCAGCACAGAAACGGGAGGCCTGGGCTCTGAGCTTTGATGCCAGGGCACGAGCTGGAGCCCATGAGGCCTCGAGGCTGCACCCAGCGCCCGTGAAACCCCAGATAGGTGCTGAGCGCTGAGCCTGGTGCAGCAACACCCGATTCTGCAGCATCCACGTGTGGCAATGAAGACCCCACCCCGAGGGCTGGCCGTGCTATGGACAGGTGGGGTGGCCACAGGCTCCGCTAGCCAGGAAGGGCCCTTCGGGGACTCAGAAAGAGGTCCAGAGACATAGCTTCTGAAGAGGCCGCTGTCCTGTCCTGGGACAACAGCCGGGGCCGAGAGACCTCGTCAGGCTGGGCCCCACCTGAGGTGGCTACGTGGACACGTCCTTCACTTGTCCCTGGTTACTTCAACCACAAAGTGATGCATCTCAAAAACAAACCAAGCGTCTTCAAGTATCCTGGAAATGCAGCATTAATTCCACCGTGTTCACGGTAGAAGGAAGGACAGACCTGGTCAGGAGCCTGACTTCCCGAGTGCTGTGTGGGACTCAGGTCAGCCGGACGCTGGACGCCGGCAGGAGGCACTCGGGGTGGCCCCAACGCAAAGCACTGGGCCCCAGGCTAGGCGGATGCGGGGTGACGGGGGACTGGCTGAGACACCCCCACTTGGTGGCAGTCACACACAGCGGGACCACCGTGACCACAGTCCAGCTTCAGCAGCAGGACTTGGGGGGAGGCCACCCTGAGAACTATTCCGGCTTCAGCGGTGGGACTGGGGGGAGGCCACCCTGAGAACCTCCCGGCTTCCGCGGCGGGACTGGGGGGAGGCCACCCTGAGAACCTCCCGGCTTCCGCGGCGGGACTGGGGGG